TCCCTGTGCTCTGCACGGCTCTGTAGTACCCTCGTAAAAAGAAAGTCAGGCTGCATCCCCTGTGCAGTCTTCTTGGCCATCTGGGCTACCCCCTCTCGGGGTCGCTGTCCCCAGTGGTCTCCAATCACAACCCCTCTCAGCGTGGCACTGAGTCAGTAAGCCAGCTTGTCTGGGCCTCTACCCAGAGAGATTTACACCCTGGCTCTTTCTTTTCTTTTCTTTCTTTTTCTCTTCTTCTTATTGTCATTGTTATTGAATTTTAAGACAAGATCTCATTAAGCTGCTCAGGTTAGACTTGAACCTGTGATCCTCCTGCCTCAACTTCCCAGAATGCTGGGATTACAAGCGTGCACCACCATGCCTGGTTGCCTCATAATCTCTTGGAGTTTGTTTGTTTGTTTGTTTGTTTGTTTTGGTGCCGGGAATCCAACTCAGGGACTCGAATTTGCCAGGCAGGTGCTGTACCACTGAGCGACATCCCCAGCCCGCCTGCCTCGTTGCCTCTTGACCTCTGCATTCCTGGGCTTGCAGCTTTCCTTCAGCAAGGCATGCCTCTGGCTGAAGCCCGAGCCTTGAGCCCACCTGAAGGCTCCATTCTTAAAATTTCCCTTCCACTGCACCCTCCTGTGCATCCACCTCTTCTCTTCCGTTTTCCCCGTCTGTTCCCCCAGCTCCTCTCCCCCCACTTCCCTGACCCAGGACCTCTTGCTGTCACACACTGCCTGTCCCCACCACACACACAACACCAGCTTCTGGTCGAGGCAGCGAATGAGGGAAGGCCAGGTTCTTTTTACTCAAGTATATTGGTGCTAAATAAAATATTAGCACATCAAGTCAAACATTATATTATAAAAGGACATCCTGCTCAAATAGTTTATTCAGGGAAAGCAGATGTGTTTTAATACTGTTGAACATTGTACTGTAATTCCTATAATTCATAGGTCAAAAGAGGAAAAACAATTTGACTAGTAGATACCCCAAAAGTGTATTTTATAAAGTTCAACATACATACCTATATACCTGCTTCAAAAAAAAACTCTCAGTAAAATTGAACTAGCAGCATCCCTTTCGTACCATGATTTTAAAATGTCTATGTCAAACCAACAGGCAGCCTAGCATGGTGGCGCATGCCTATAACCCAGCATTCTGGGAGGCTGAGGCGGGACGATGGCAAGTTCAAGCCCATGCTAGGCTACAGAGCAATTTATCACGATCTTGTCTCAAAATTTAAAAAATCAAAAATTTGAAAAGGGCTGAGGATGTAGCCCAGTGCGGAGGCCTTGAGTTCCATCCCCTATACTGGGAAAAAGCAAAAAACAGGCCTTAGCATGTGTGATGCTGAAGTACCAGGGGCACTGCTGTTAAATTCGGGCATAAGAAGAGGCCAAGATTGGCCACTCTTGTTTAACTTTATTCTGGAGCTGACAACCAAAGCTGTTGGTAGAGGCAATGATACCCCAGTAGAAATAAGCTACCAAGTGTCCCGATCTTAGTTTCTAAATGCCATTCTCCAGTAAAAGGAACCAGAGCGCCTTGATAAAGTGGCTGATCCCAGAGCTGGAACAGAGAAATTCCAAGGGGAGTTTGAAGCATATTTTTGCACTAGAAAGGGAGGGGATGCTCAAAGATTAATGGAGGGCCAGGGATTTAGCTCAGTGGTGCCGCCGCCTGTTGTGCAAGTGCAAGGACCTGAGTTCGATCCCCGGTACCAAAAAAAAAAAAAAAAAAAAGATTAATGGAGACAGGTCAGAATGACACAGCAGTCTTTCCGAAAGGGCTTCCACTGGCTAAGCCTGGGACAATTTGAGCATTCATGTAACTATCTACAAGAATAGATTATAACCTTTTGGCTACAATAGGAACCCATGAGTCCATATTGTTAAGAATGGATGAATGAAGAAGAAAGGCATTCCTGCCGGCAAGTAAATGTAGAAGAGTGATGGACATAGACATTCTCTATTTGGCAATCATCCCAGTGGTGGCTGATTAAGGCTGGAGTCATCAAAGGATGCTAAAGAATATTGGTGTGATCTTTCTGTGTCTCCTCACCACATCCATATCAAATACAAAGGGAAAGATGGTAAGCATGTGGAGAGACCCAGCAGTTGCCAACTTGACCTTGCATCAAGATTAACACCACCATTGTTGGGTAAGCCCAGTAACATATGCTGGGTCTGAGGCACAGAATAGCGCAGAATCTTCCTGTGTGTTCTTGCCGTGAACACACAGCCTGAGCCTGGACATGGGAAAACAATCCAGCCTCAGCTTGGGAGATACCTGACGGAATGAATGGATGCTACTTTTAAGACTGTCACTGCCACAGAAGCGAGGGAAAGATGGATAATCTGTTTCAGATAGGAGGAAAATCACGAACCATGACAACTAAGTGCAGTTTAGAACCCAGACTTGGATCCTGGAACCAAAAGGCAAATGAGCCATTGCTGGGACAGTTGTAGAAATTTGCATGAGGTCCATTGATTGGAGGATGGGGTAAAAAGAATTTCGATTTCCTCATTGGCAGTGTTGAATGGTAGTAAGGAGGAGAGGATGTTGATTGGAGGAAATACACATTGGAATATTTAGGGGTCAGGAGCATCACATCTACAACTTGTTCTAAACTTTCAAATGGTTCAGAAAAAAGAAAGATCTGTCTGCCTCTCTTTGTGTTTGTGCCTGCCTGCCCTCCTCTGTCTACATTCTGTTCATCAACCAAGACATACCCATCTTATGCCCTTTACCTTGTCATCCTGCTTGCCATTTCCCAAAGAAACTTGCAGGGAAAGCACCCTACAAATACGAGGGAACAGAAAACTCCTTTCCTCTGTTTGTCAGGGATTTACTGGAAACCAAAGTTCCAGGTGCATTTTTGGTGGCTGGGAGCAATCGATGAAGGAACCACTTTGAGTCAGAGGTGCCTTCCTAGGTGTGGGGTCAGTTCCCTCTCTCTTTGGGGCTGAGCAACAGGATAGGTGCTGGGAGTTGTGCATTATGGCAGCCCTAGTAGCAGTCCATGCTCCAAGGCTAAGTTTGCTGTTGAACACCTCTGAAGCTGACTACATTAATGAATTAATTTTACTTTATGTACTTAGGATTGTGTCTTATTATGCAAAAAAAGTGCAACATGTCTTCACATTACTACCTCTGGGATCCTTTTGTCACAAAAAGGTCATCACAGTATCTTCATGGCAGGGGACATAGAGCCCAGCACAAGCACCAGGGGCTCCTCATTGTCCCCAGGAAGCAAGCGCTCCATCCAGGATAGGGACTCTCTTATGCAGCCTGTCATCTGACCACCCCATCTTGTCAGTCCTGTGGTCACATGCTTCTTCTCACTCTTGGATGCTCCCATAAAGACTGCTTGGAAGGCTGGGCTTGATTCACCTGGGCCCAAGTGATCCCACATAAAGGTGACCAGAGGAGGCTAGGCAGTGACGTAGAAAGGGAGTCAGTGTTTAGAGCCCAACCGACAGGGCTGATCTGGGTCTTGGCCCTCTTCTCCTTCACGATCTGGGTCTCCATCTCCTGCTGCCATGCCCCCTGGTGCCAGCTTCTGCAGCCCAGCTGGACTGGACACAGGCTGCCCCGGGCCTCCTCCTGGAGGCAGACCCCTGAGTGTTCCCTGGGAGGTGAGGGTACAAGGGTGAGGGCCGCAGCATTCTAGGAATACTCACCCCTTCTGCCCTCTTCTGACATATTCTCCCTGTGCCTTGGTTTTCCCATATGTGGAATGGAACTAATTACCCTCAAAACATCTCTGCAAGGTACTAATTACTGTCTGAGAGAGGCTTTGAGATCCTTGGATAGAATATAACAGTACTAATAATGGATAATAACACTCTGTCCTTCTCCGAGGCCTTTCATCCATGGATCTCAAAGCCTTTTACAAACCTTAATTAATTCTCACAACACCCCAGTGCGGGAGGCTGATGGTCATTAGCCCTATTTTACTGGTGGGGAAACTGAGAGGAGCCAGGAGGCTGGCTTGAGGCCACACAATAAGCTGACGGTCCCGTGAGGGTTAGGCCTCACAGCCTTCGGCCCCAGGAATGGCTCAGATAATGTGGGCTTCCACCCAGCTCAACGAGGACCGAAGAGGCCGATGGGGTGGTAGAACCTGCCAAGCCCCTAACGTGGCTGTTGGGCCCCTGAGCTTGGAGGAGAAGGCCCATAGGCATGGGCTTTGCCGGCCTGGCCTGGCGATGTGGGGAGACAAGTAACATTTCTAGGGTGCTCACTGCACATGGACCCTGTACACTTTTGTATTATTGGGTCTTATCCTACCTGTGAGGAAGGACATATTGTTCCCATTTTACAGATGAGGAAACTGGCTTGTTGAAGAAGTCACCATGTTGTCTCACCTACTGTGGACCAAGCAATTTGCTTTTGCCTTTGTTGTCACTAGTCCATACCACAAACCGTCCGGACAGCACTGGACATTTTAACCATCACTTTAGAGGGGGAAACTAAGGCACACAGAAGCAAAGCACCTTGCTCAATGGCGTGACTGTGGACGAGCCACTGTGCTTCAGTAACCTCTCCCTTCCCCAGCCCAACTCCTTCCCAACCTCTGTGGGCTGCTGAGGGTGAATGACATCATGTCAGGGAGGCTTTGAAGTGCTTGGGGCAGCGGCCAGCTGCAGGTCCTCCCAGGGGAAGATGACAAGCCCTGTGACCCAGCCTCAGTGTCATCCCACAGGAAAGTTCCCAGAAACATGGAAACGGCAGGGTCACCCTGGATGACCGGGACTACCCGGGAAGAGGCGCCCCATGAGCTGCCACCCGGGTTTCAGGGACAGCGTCCCGTGCCCTGCCATGGGCCTCTCTGAGGAGGACCCTGCTTCCTGGCACACAGGGGTGAGTGACAGTCCCTCTACCCCCGCCACCTGGGCAGGGCAGGGAGGACCTGAGAAGAGGGCTGTACCGCTAGGCAGCCGCCCAGTGTTCCAAGGAGGCTGGGGCCCAAGAGACCCCTGAGTTTCCGGGTGGCTCTGACAGTGCCCGATCTCCAGCTACAGAGCCACATACTCTGGAATGTTGTCTGTTTTTAATGACTGCTCCCCTGTCCCATGAGCTTAAAGGCTTTGTTAGAAAGCAGATTCATTCCAGTGACAGAAGCAGGAACTTGGGGACTGGGCAGGGTGTCAGAAGACCTGGCTGCAATCTCTCAAACATGCTGTGTGGTCCGGAAAACCTTCTTGCTCCCTGCCTCGATTTCCCTGTCTGTGAAAACCACAGGGGAAAATACCAACGCTGTCGCTCCTGGAGAGCTTTTTAAGCCCAAGGAAAGAAATGCAGGGAGAAGGCAAGAGCATGTAGAGAATACGGTGCTCACAGGATGGATGGGTGGGGTGCCAGCCATGGGGTGATCTTTTGGGTGAAAAGGCTAAACTTCTAGCAATTTTGCTCACAGCTTGTTCAGTCTTGATCCAAAAAATATTTAATATTTGTGTAGCTTTTTACGTAAGTTAGCAAAATGCTAACTCTCTCACAATGATCTCTTTGAACCCCTTTCCACACCTGCAGGGGAAGGAGGGATATTAGTACCTCTAACTTACAGACAAGGAAATGGGGTCAGAGAGATGAAATAATCTGTTTCAGGATGCACAGGCAATAAAGGGCAAACCCACTCAAATATATCACTGGGATATTTTCTAGAAAATTCTGCACCACAGAGCCCGTCCTAGGGGTTGGAAGTTTGGTCTCCTGGTGTCTAGGTTGGGTGGAGGGTCTGGGTCACAGAGGCCCTTTTCCTCCTGGGGTGGGGTGGGTTGAGGGCCCTTGGGGTGGAGACCTGGGCCTGCAGGAGGCCACGGAGCAGTGGCTGGGGGGCGGCTGGGCAGGGTGGGGTTGGGCAGGGCAGCGAGAACAGAGTGACCTGGACGGCGTGACCTGTGATAATTGAGCACCGCACGCAGTGGTGGTGGCAGTGGTGGCAGAGGCGGGGAGGCCTCGCTCTGTTGGGCTGGCTCCCCTCCTTGGCTGCTGGAGGCTTCCAGGAGGCAGCAGGCTCGTCCTTTCTCTCCCACAGCGCAGATCCTGGCCAGGAAGAGCCTGCTCAGACCTGCTCTCCCCACAAAGCGAGGTAGCAACTCCCCGGGGCGGAAAGTGTCTCTTCTGAAAGCAAGACAAGAGTTTAATTAAGCCCTAAAAGCACACAGTTGAGCCTGAAATTAGGGTGGTGAAGGGAGGGGAGAAGGCAGCTGAGGACAGGGGGGCTTCGGCCCAACCCTGCTCCGACTGAGCAAAATAACCCCACAAGCAAACCCTTCCCGAGCCAAGGGCTGGTTTACAAAACATTTCTGACATAGAAATGGGAGAATGCCCTGGGCCCTGCCCCTCTAGACTCGTGTTTGGGGATGGGGGTTGGGTTTGTGAAAATGTGGAGACCAGGAAGAGAGAAGCCACCTCTGAAAGGAGGGCCCAGGTCTCTGGGGGGCTCTGTGTGGGTCCTGCGTGACTGACACGGGGCACCCTGAGGAAGGGAGGGAGGCCGGAGGACACTGAGGGCTCTGGGCAACCAGTCAGACCATACACACAAGGGTGCCCAGGTTGGGGCTCCCGCCCAGCCCAGCTCCCCCAGCTGGGCAGCGTGCACCCTGCTCCCCTAGGAGGAAAGCAGCAGCCAGCCCTGATTTGTAGTCAGCTGTGCTCCTGGCTTTGGGGACAGAGCAGTGAGATTTGCTTTACTAACATTTGCAGGTTTGGGCAATCTGTAGCTTTGAGGGGGTCCCTAGCTTCACCCCTCTCACTGCTGTCCCAGGTCTCCCCGAACTGCAGCTGAGACATTCACACCATCACCTCCTTCATCTGGTAATTGATCCTGTTTTGCCCTGAAACTTGGGTTTGGTCTTAATTTGCCAGGGACTAAAGGCAAGAAAAGATGGGCAGACGGGCGTGTTACCGCTCGTCTCTGGGCAGAGGCTGTTTCGACAGAGCTCCTGGCTGCGTGTAAAAGTGCACACATGTAGCACAGTGAGGGAACAGGCTGTACACGGGGTGGGGTATGCCTGGCAGCCGTCTCCTGCCTCTGTGTGTGGGTGTGGGTGGGTGTCACTGGGCTGATTTTCATCACTGAGGCAGGAGACCTGGACAATGAGCAAACACAGTCCCTGCAGGAGCTGACCAGCTGGCTAATGTTGGCTGACACAGAAGCTGCCATCCTGGCCCAACTCCTCACCCAGTGTTGATGTCACCTGCCTGCCGAGCCAGCTGATCACCTACTGGAAGTGGTCTCGTCCCTCTGGGGTCCAGAAGCAGGTTGTACGTTCTTTGACTTTGAGGGACCAACTTCTAAAGAGGCCAGAGTGGGTGTCCTTGCTAGTGGGCAGGTTATGCAAAGAGCAGCCAGCTCTGGCCACTAAGCTGCACCTGCTTGCTTTTCCTGATGTGGGTCTGGTACATCCATAGCTTCCCCTTTCTGGGACAGATGGGAAATCCTGATGCTGCTTCCCACTACTGGGAAGGGCATCCTTGTGGGGTGATGACCTATGTGCGGAGGGTCAGATGGGCCCAGCCACCGTTCGCTGCAGCCTCCCTTCCCCACTGCATTTTCCTCATGGATGGCTTCCCCAGGTCTCAAGCAACAGCAATGGATCCTATCACAGTTCTGGAGAGCTGAAGTCTGAGATCAAGGTGTCAGTGGGGCCACAACTCCCTCGGGTGCTCCCTGGGGCGGGGGTGGGGTCATCCTCGCCTCTTAAGCTCCTGGCTTGTGGTCCAAGCCGTTCTGATCTGCTCACTGTGCCTTTAACCTCCCTCTGCCTCCGTCTTATAAGGACATTGACCATTGAAATTAGGGTCCACGCAGGTAATCCAAGGTGAGCTCCTCATCTCAAGAGCTTTAACTCTGTTACATCTGCAAAGCCGACTTTTCCAAATAAGGTCATATTCACAGGTTCCGGGGATTTGGGCAGGAACATTATCTTTTATGAAGACCACTGTTCAGGCTGCTACACCACCCAGTGGTCCATTTGCTGTGGCTCGGCGGACTCCTCCTGTGATGGGGAGCTCACTGCCTCACCAGTTGGCTACATCCCAGTCCAAACAGGTCTGATTATTTTAGGGTTCTTACTTAGGTGGAATTGAACTTCTGCTCAAAAGAAGCTGCTATTCACTGGGCCTGGTTCTGGCCTCTGGAACACATAAAATGCATGTAAATAAATACGCCCTCCATTCCCACTCCCTCTACCTCCAATTACAATAAAACAGTCAGAAAAAGGATGGGCTGTTTGGGTATATGCACAGACCCTAGTGGCTCTGTCTCTAAGGTCTTGTGCCTCAGTTTCTCACCATAATGCCAGAGGGCAGCTGAATCACTGTTTCATGGGATGCATTGGGGTAACATAGTCTGCATCAGCATATTAAAGGCTCTGAGAAGTCCTGAGTGAGGATACTCCTTTAAAAGCCCATTATTTTCCAAACTTATTTGAAAAATAGGGGTCTTTTATAGTTTACCGTCTTTTTTTATTACCCTGCAAAATTCCCTCACTATACTAGGAAGTCCACAATCTGCTTTAGTCAAATCAAACAGCTGAGGTCATCTTGCTAAGCTCCCATCCCCAGCACTGTTGCTAAGCGTTTTGCTGGAGATAACAAACTATCCGTCCAAAGATGAGATTCGATTCTGGAAATTAGAAGCTCCTTTCCCAAACCGCAGACAGCTAGGGTGAGGTTGTGGGCGATGGCCTCCTGCTAGGGGCCCTGGGCCTCTCCAGCCCCTGCCTGGAAGCACAGAGATCAGGGCCCTTCAGGAGGAAGCCAGGGAAGGAAGGATTTCCATAGCCTGGTCCCCTGGAGAACCAGACACACAGCCTTCCCTCCTTGGGGACACTGCCTATGAACCTGGGTTTTCTGGAAGGTTTTTTTCAAGGTCTGAACTAAATCTTCCCTTTGCTGGGGGCGGGGGGAGCTCAGAGAGGGCGGATCTTATGAAATGGGAGCAGGAAGAATACCTGGACCTCCTAAGGGAAAGACACTGCCCAGGAGGGAAGAGAGAAGGGCGAGTCCTAAAGAAAGGGGAGAGGCTGGGATGACTCACGCGGGGATGGGTAGGGCTGGGGGCTCCAGTCTGGTGCCAACAAGAGACAGAAATGTTGAAATGAAAGCTGAAGCAGCAGAATAGAGTGGCCTGACAGGGCCACCAGGTGTATCACTCCCTGCCCCCAAGTGTCTCTGCTCTTGTCTTTGTTTTGTTTTGAGACAGGGTCTCCCCATGTAGTTCTGGCTGACTTGGAACTCACTCCGTAGCCCAGGCTGGGCTCGAACTTGTGTCGATCCTACTGCCTCAGCCTCTCAAGTGCTGGGATTACAGATGTATGCTACCATGCCCCTCTCATGTCTTTAAGACCCCAGAAGGGGTCACAAAACCCAGATCAGCCTGGGCTACCTGATAGTTTTGTCTGCAGAAATAAGGTTCACTTTTTAGAGCTAGCTTTGTCGTTGGTTGTTGAGTTCCCGTGTCTCAAGCACCAGGCTGCCTACCTTCGCACATAGATTATCTAATCCTTGCCATCTAGGTGAAGATGTCAAGGCTTTCAGAGGTTTAGGTTTTTTTTTTAAGTGGTATTGAGGATTGAATCCAAGGCCTTCACATTCAGCTACATTCCCAAGCCCTTTTTACTTTATAAATTTTTTGAAACAGGGTCTTACTGAATCACTAAATTGCCTAGGCTGGTCTTGAACTTGCCATCCTCTTGCTGTGTAGCCTCTCAGAGTTCTGAGATTACAGGCATGTGCTACCACACCTGGGTACGGTTTAGTGTCTTGCTAAAAGTCAAGAGACAGGGCTGGGGATCTTGCTCAGTGGTGCCGCCACCTGCCTCGAAAGCACAAGGTCCCGTGTTTGATCCCCCGGTACCAAAAAAAAAGTCAAGAGACAAGAATAGGACCGAATCTGTCTGACTCCTGACCCACAGCATAGTGTCCAACATTAGTCACAGCCGCTGGATCCTGACAGTGTGGGAAGTTCTCCCCAGGTCTGACCTGCACCTCTCCTACCTTTACCTGAGTTGGACCTGATGAAGGGGCCATGTAGGCAGGGTGGCTCTTCTCCCGAGTGAGCCTGGAGAGACATCCCCATTCTCTTGTACAGGTAGTAAGTAGCCTTCCAGTTACTGGGGTGGGGAATGTTTGCCTTCTGTTAATGAAAAGAAGTAGATGTGATAATAAATAAATGCCCAACCCAGAGCAGTAATCGGTGCCCCTAACAAAGAGGCTCTGTGTTTGCTCTTGGCTGTGGGTTACATTCACTGGCTCTTGGCACTGCTCAGAAGCCCCCAGGCACGTCAGTCAGGGTGGGGCAGCCACACACTATCCAGAGGAGGGAGCTGAGCTTTCCTGCCTTAAGCTCCCAGAATTTGCCCTGGGAACCGAGGCTCCCATGCACCTGCTTCCGGGTGCCCTGGCCAGAGTGTGGAACATGCACTGGGCTCCTGGGTCCAAGGGGCAGTGGAAATGGTGCCTTGCACTCGGCATCAGGAAACTGGAGCCTGGGCCCAGCTCAGCCTCTGCCCCTGAGCAAGCCTGTTTCCCTCACTGGGCCTCAGTTTCCCCGAATGTGTAACACTGGGAGGATGTTGCACCAGATGAGCAATTGTGTTCCTTCTAGGACCCTACAGATGTGGCTCTCCCCAAAGCTGCGAAGTTGTGAGTGCTGCTGTGCCATGCACAGGGGGCCCAGCAGATGGACAGAATCCTGGAGCTCAAGAACCCAACTTCCTTCTCTGCGGGGTGACTGGACACATCTTCTGGACTCTGCTTCCTTCCTTTCTTTCCTACTTTCTCTAACTCTCCAGTTTCTCGAGTTTCTTTGGACACCCCTGTGAGCCTTGCTACAACCCTTGATACAGGCAGAGAAAGGGCTGTAGCACTGTGAGCCTCAAGTATGTGCCAGACACTTCCCAGCTGGGCTATTTCCTGGCTCCTCCCCTTAGCCGCAGAAATCCTCTGGGAACAAGGTAGCATGCAAATAAGTGGACAGAGAGCCCCAGGAACTGCCTGGAGTTCCTTGGTTATCAGGCAGCAGAGCCAGGATTCAAACCCACGCCTCTTTGGTGTAAACCTTTTCTGTTTGCTTTGAACTGGGCACATTCTTTGCCTCGCTTTGCACATAAGTGACTCAGTGTATAGAGATGAAGTGACTTCTTCAGGAATCAAATCTCTGTCTTTTGCCTACAAACCTGGGGCTGTTTATGGAAACATCACAGCCTCTTCAAAAGAAAAACCAGTGGGGTCCCTTCCATCCTTCCTCCCTTGCTTCCTTTTTTCCAGGAACACCCCCCTCCCTTCTCGAGTGCTCACGTGTCCCCGACAGGAAATTGCATGATGTGCTCATTGATGCAGATAACAGAGGCCTGGCTCCCCAAGCCATGTGTGTCTGCAGAAGCGGGGCGGGGCAGGGGGGGCATGCAGCAGGGCACACGCCCGTGACCCATGCAGTGGATGCATGGTGCCAGGATGGGTGACCTGACTCCCTGGGGACCCTCACTAGGGATTCAGGCAGCACCTAGCCTCACTCTGTGTGCCATCCCAGGGCCCTGGCTGAGTCTGCACAGGTCCTTCCTTCCAAGCATACCCAGACAGCTGGGGTGGGGCGCTGAACGTGGACGCTTCCCTCGAAGCACCCCTGCCTTGCTGTCACCTGGCCTCCTTGCAGTCCCTCCCTACCTCTCTCTGGACAGTGACAGCAGCCCCTCTTTCTCTGTCCCCACTCTGGGCTCCTGCCATTCCCTTCTGTCCTCTACCCTGCCACCAGAGTAATCAGCTTGAGGCTCAAGTTTCCACTTTCAGGCTGTAGCGCATTGTACGTATCCCTTGGCTCATGGAAAAAAGAAAGCCTTCCCCTGGAAGGTGCACTCGAAGCTGTTGGGAGAACTCCTGCTTCCAGCCAAGCCCAGATCACAATTTCTCCCTTCTTCTCAGGAAACTGTCACTACAGGAGACCTGGCTGCTTCCGATCCCTGTCTCTCATGGTGTGTGTCTGCATGTGTAGGGGGCAGCTTTTGGGGGCAAACTGAAGCAGGACACATGCATAAGGTGTACAAGTCATGTGCACGTCCTGGTGAGTTTTCTCATATGAACACACCTGTGTGCGCCTTGCCCAGGTGAGAAACACAGCAGGGCCAGTGGAGGCCCTCAGGCCGCTCTCTTGGCCCATCCTTTCTGCTACAAGGCCAACCATGTTCTGACTTCTAATGTGATAAATCCATCTTGCAAAAAGAAAAAACTATTTTGCCCTTAAGACAATAGAGCAATACATATTGTGTCTGGCTTCTTTTGTTCAACATTCTATTTGCTAATTAGCTATGGATATGCATGTACCTTGCACACAGACATATATACATACATAACATACATGGGCACAAAATATGCATGTATGTATGAATATATAAAATTAGTCCTTGCCTTTCTTGATGAAATATTTTAAATCAAAAACCCAAACAGGGGCTAGGGTGTAGCTTAGTGCTTAGCACGAACAACACCTTGGGTTCTATCCCCAGGATAACAAATAAAAATGAAAAATGTCATTTTTCTATGTCATTTGACCTTGTGTTCCTTAGTATACATCTCCAAATAATATGGATTATTTTGCATTCACAATGCATGTCATTATCTGACCTAACAAAATTAGAAACAGTTCAGGGGCACCATCTAATACCCAGTCTATACCCAGTCTATATTCAGATTTTCCAAATTGTATACTTCTAAAGGAAATTCACAGCCACAGGTGAAGCTCCGCATCCCAGTGCTGTTCTTGCCTCTCTTCTCGCTTCTCAAGTTGGTGCCCAGTAGGCTTGGCCTCGGATTCAACCCAAACCCTCGCTGGTGGATTCCCAAGTCTGGCAGGGCTTTCCCAGAATTGTCAGGGTCAGCCGACTTAGACCCTATTGGTTTCTGAATCCCCTTTTCTAAGTCCACCATGCAGCCCTGCCCTCTTAGATCTGCCCCAAAGTTCCAGCAGCATGTTTGGGCAGTGGCATCTGCCTGCAACTGAGGTCAAATCTACCTCCTCTAATACTAGCACCTTCTCAGTCTTGCTAGTCCTCTGGGCTCATTCTAAACAAAGCTGTCTCTTTCTCTACAGAGAGGATCTTCAGATATTTGGAGACACCTTGGGACTGTTCTGGTCTCAGTCAAATCCCATCAATGTGCTCTTGCCCTGGGACCCAGACTTCCCTGTGACTTAATGGTGTCTGCCCTGCAACCTCTTGACCTCCACTTGTCAATGTCCAGTGAGACTCCTGAGGCCACGTTCATGGCTGCCATCTTCATGAGGATTCTTCTGATGCGTTCCAGCAGATATGTTCTTACCCTCTGTGTTAACCAGAGAATCCTGGTAGCTGCTTTGTGGTGTTGACTGTGTTCTGACTTGTTCTAAAGTTATGTCAGAATCTTTCTCCTCCTTCACTGGATTCCAAATCCCTTGAAGATTGACACTTTCTAACCTGTCTTTGTGCTTCTGGAAATGTCTAGCAAGAGTAGGCATTCACAGTAGGTGCTCTTTATATGTTCATGGTACATTAGTCAGGACTCTTAGCTGCAAGTGACAGATAAACTCAATTGGGCTTAAACAGAAAAGGGAATTTCTTGCCATTTACCTGGAAAACCCAGGAGAATAACCACTGGAGGCATGCTGGTCCACAGGTGATCACTGCTGTCATCAAACACTCGTTCCCCACTGCTTGGCTCTGCTTCCCTCTGGGTTGGCTTTATTCCTAGTAGCCTGTCCCCAAGGAGTAGTAAAAAGAGAGTGCTTATTTTTCAAGGGTTTTAGCCAGAGCCTCCAGGCTGACTCTCATAAGCTAGTCTTGGATCAACTGTACAATCATGAAACAGTGACTGCAGCCAGGGATGTGAGATGTTCTGGCCAAGACTGGCTCATGTGTCCATGTGTTCACCCTAGAGCTCAGGGTAGGGTCAACTCTGGTACATGGAATAGGGAAGAGGAGGATCCCCCAAAGGAAAATCAGAGCACTCTCACCAGAAGAAGGGAGAAAGGATGCTGGGCCAGCCAAATAACACAGCTTCAAAAGAGCTGGAGGGAGCCCTAGTACAAGCGCTCAGGTCTCTTGTGTCTGGTGTTCCTCTGAGCTCTCTGTCTTCCCTCCGTGTGACCTTGAATCCATCCAAAGGCCATGGAGTGATAAGATGAACACCGCTCAGTGACTGGACTGTGTATGTAGAGATGGTTCATGACAGTTTAGTGCCATCCTAATGCAAGAGTTCATTAACATCTGTACAAGACTCTGGGGCCAGAATACCAGCACTGCTTTTTAGCTCTGGAACTGGGCGAGTTTATCAGTCTTGACTGATTTTTCTATTGTTGAATGGGAATAATAATTTTAACTACCTTGAAGGGTTGTTGCAAATGTTAACTGGGTTAATATATATGATTCAATTAAAACAGTATCTGGTACAAGGCAATCCCTGTAAAAGGTTTTTGTAGGTGTCCTTATTGAGTAAGAACATTGTTATTGCCTTATGACCCCACTCTTTTGTGTGCTACTCCCTATTCTTCTCAGACAGATGTAAGCTGCCTGGGGGCAGGATCCTTCCAGTTTCCTGGCTTCCCCAGTAAGTGCTGAGCAAATCCTTGAGGCCAGATTGTGAGACCCGGGGACAGTCCTGGCCTCAAACCACATCAGAAATGGAAAGAACTTGCCTAAGCTTCCGGCTGCACCAAGGAGCATTTCAGGAGGAGCCCTGGTAGTGCCTTCCCCTGTGAATGCCCAATCATCAGGAGAGGAGGGCCACAGCACCAGAGTTCAAAGTGGAACTTGGAGATCTTGGCAGGAGACTTGCCCAGATGCAGGAGCAGTGGGGAAAACTTCGCCTGCTAAAGACTTCTGTTTTTCTCTTGCCCTATAACAGACACTGAATTCAACCCAGCCTCCTGGCGCAGATAGAGAAGCAGAGGCTTGGAGATGTCTAGGGGTTTGGCCCAGATCACCTGGCCAGCTAGAGTGGGACTGTGCTTGGAGCTCCACTTCCCATCTGGACACCAAATCCTGTGCTGCCTCTCCTTGTGCAGATGTGAGAACAGAAGGAGAAGCAAGGAAATTGGCCTGTTTCTCCTGAGGGCCTGACAAACATTCCTAGCAGTGGTGACTTCTGCTCTGACTCATAAAGATATTTCAGAATAATAGCACCGGTCATTTTATCTCAGGAATGTATCCGGCTTTAAAACAACGAAAACACTGGTTGCAAGGAAGTGCCCTCTCCTGCCTTCCAGGGCAATGACCCTGTTCAGAGTCTCCAGAGCCTGTGGAGGTGGAGGAGGAGGACAGAAAGGCCTCATTTACATATGATTTCCGAAATATCTTACACAAAATTCAGTATTCATGCATCGCTTAATGATGGGGATGTGGTCCAAGAAATGTGTTGCTAGGCAATTTTTTGTGTGAACATTATAGAGTATGTGTGCACAAACCAAGCAGCTATGATGCCACTGGGCAGTCTTGATGGCGGGAACATCCTTATCCACTGCATTTACAGTAATTCTAAATATGGTCCCAGGCAAAAAAAAAAGTCTTGTTATTGTTTGCTTTTTTTAAAAAAAATTGACGGTAAAGTAATTCAGTAAAGTGAATAAAATACCATAATCTCGAGGGTAAAGCTTAATGATTTTTTTTTTTTTTGGTGGTACTGGGGAATGAACCCAGAGCCTTTGAACTGAGCTGCATCCCCAGCCCCATCCCTGCCTTTTCTTTTCAATTTTGAGACAGGATCTTGCTAAGTCGATAAGTTGCCCAGGCTGGGTCGAAATTTATGATCCTTTTTCCTCAGAGAGCTGGGATTTCAAGCTTGTGCCACCACACCTGGCTTGGGTGATGTTTTTCATGCACACACACAGGTGTGACCCCCACCCAGATGGAGATTTCATTTAAACATGAGCATTGTGATTCCATCTAGAGTATTTTCTCAACTTTCTTGTCTTCTGCTCTTCTCCTTGGAGTATATCCCATATGTGAAGTGGGAATCATGTCGGGAGAACTGTGTGTGCTGCATCTCAGGATACCTAAGCTGGAGAGTTCTCTTGGAACTTCAAGGTAGTGTAAGGCCACAGGAGGGAAAGCCATTCTTGCTGCCACCATTCTCTCCCCCAGATCTGGACCTCCTCCTAGACTTTCCTCTGCCTCCACACCTGGGAGGTGACACCCTCCTTGGCCATAGTGGCTCGGTGAAGTTTCAGGGATGGCGGAGTGGCTTGACAAAGTTCTGCGGGCAGTTGTGGTCACTGTCCTGGTAGGAGGGACCTTGCCCCTCATTATGAAATCCCACTCATGGCAATGCCCTGAGGCTTCATTAGCACCTGCCCCCCCCCCAGCAGCTCTCCACCCTCCCTTCTTTGCATTTCCCTGTCTCCTGGGTGGTCTAGCTCCAGCACTGCACTGCCCTTTGGCCAGAGATGGGGAGTTGGGAGAGATGGGCCTGGGGCCACCATGCCCACTTTCAGCACACCATGTCCAGCAGTGGGTGCTTCCCCCAGCCCGCTAGCCGGCCTCATCCTCTGCCCCAGTGCTCACTGGGCTCTGAGAACACCATGTTCTCCCCCTTTCAGCCCCACGGGTGGACAGTTTCCAAGCGTCACCGGACTCTGGGTGCTGCAAGATCCACCCCCCAACACACACACTGGGAATTGAGCCCAAGGTTTTTGCACTAAGCTACATTCCCTACCCTTCTTTTATTTTGAGAGTCTCAGTAAGTTGCTAAATTGCCCAGGCTGAGTTCGAACTTGCAATCCCGTCTCAGCTTCCCAGAGTGCTGGGATCACAGGCTTGTGTTTCCTGGCCCTCCTTCTGTAACTTTGCCACACCTTTCTAAGGAGCTTCATCATTAAGGCCTCTTTTTTGAACCACCTGGGTTGAAATTTGCCTCCTGATGATCCCTTGACCCAGTCACAGGTCACCGGACAAACACTCTTATACTAAATAGTTACCAATTCTAAGATGCATCTGGCCTTCACAAATGATAAAGCATCGAGATGCATGACTTCAATAAAGAAATGATGGTGGATTAGCTCAGACATGATGGACAGATGTCAGCTTGTCACTGAGAAGTCAAATCTACTCCTAACCTTTCAAAGGTGACAGCGCACTGGGTTTACGGCCAGGCGAGATGGCCTTGAGTTCAGCCTCAGACACCCGCTCACAGGCTAAGCAATCTTGAGGAAGTTGCTGTCACTGTTCCTTGGCCTCCTCTTCGAAACTCCGGGTATGCACACTGCTGTCCACACCCTTGTGGGTGTGCTGTGTCAAAGGACGATGGAGGCCACGTGAGTAGAAGGGCTTCAGGAATGCCCAGTTCCCAGATGCCCGGGGCAGTGCAGCCCTGAGGAAGCAGCCGTTCAGACACCTAAGTCATCTCTCGGGTGCCAGACACTGGGCTGCACGGACAAACCGGTGGAGAGGCGATGTGAAACCCGGCCCACCTACCCTTTTCTCCTTTCCCTCACTTGCCATGACCCCTTCCTGGAGCTGAGTGATGGCACTGGAGCCGGGGCTGCTTATTTATTCAGCCGAGAACTAAGGGACACTTGCAGAGGAAGTTAAAGCCACGAGCTTTAAGTCAAGCCCCAGACCAGTCAGAGAGACATTCCGGTGGAAGGTGGCGAACGCCACGTCTGAGGAAGAGCTTGATGTCAGAGAATCTCATCTGTACACTCAACAGGTCACTACCGCACTAATCAGTTGCCTGGACAAATAACCTAATCTCACTTTCTTGTCTGCAGCCAGGAATAAGACCCACCTCACATGTTTCTTGTGAGGATTACGTGCCACAATCCGTTTTCAGGACGGTGTCTGATTTTGGTTAGGTGTTCAGTAAAAGTTCGCCTGCATTCTTAGCGTTAATTATTCCGGGGTCCCAGAGGGCCCTGCGTAACTGCATGAGCCCGGATTGGTTCCCCCGCAAAAGGGGCTCACTGGGGCCTGGAGGCTGCATTCTTGGGTGGGCAGGGAGTTCCCCGGGCACCAGCTGAGGCAGGGGAGGCCGGTCTGGAGGCAGCGCCAGGGCATACCCCGAGTCTGGCGCTCAAGGGCCTGAAAGGTGAGGCCGGGCTGTGGAGCGCAGGCCTCCCGGGCGGGCAAACAAATCCAGCCCAAGTTCTGGAGCAGGGCAAGGCCGGGATCAAAGCGCTCCGGAGGCAGGCCGGGGCGCACCAAAGGAGGACAGCGACTTGCATCAGCACCGATTCCGTGATGCTCTGCAGACGTCCGGGGGCTGCTGGGCTTTACGGGAACCCACAAGAAAGGAAAGGGCCGGGGAGCGGGCAACGCGGGGGCGGGGGAGAGCGCGAAGGCGCGCTCGCCCGCAGGCGCGCTCCCGACGGCGCCTGCCCGTGGTTGGGCGGGCCCGGGACGGCGGAGACCGCGAAGGAAGCTCCTGTTCCCCTTCCCCTCCTCCTTTCCCCCCGCGTTACTGGAAGGGCTGTGTGGGAGCCACCCCGCGGCACCTGGATTTTCGAGCGCAGGATGGGGCAGGGCGGGGCGGCACCGCTGCTGGAAGGAAAACCAAAAGCGCGTCTGTTCGCGCCTCCGGCACGCTGCCGCTCCGGGAAGGGCCCTGCGAGCCCGGCCGCGCCTCCCTTGCAGCCCCTCCGAGGCCTCGCCGGGATGGCCGGGGCCCGCGTGGCGCGAGGAAGGGGCCAGGAGGCGAGTGGGAAAGTGCACGATTTCTCCCTCCGGGCCCTGCCCCCGTCCCCACCCCCAGTTTTCTGGGTTTGCCGCTGCCGCTGGGGAAGGGCTGATCCGTTTTGCGTCAAAGGACTGCATTTACTCAGTCCTGCTGGGAGAGGCGCGTAAACACCCCGCCAGGCCCGGACGCGGGGAGGAAAAAAGCCAAGCACCCCTGGCTGGCTTGCGCGTCCGCCGGCTTCACAGCCCTCGCCCGGGCCCGCGCAGCTGCGGACCCCGCTGAGCGGTAGGCGGCGGAGGTGTGAAGGGTCTGGGCGGCCTCGCTCCACCCCGCCGCGCCGCGCGCGCACGTCCTTGGGGATGCAGCTCCGGACAGAATGTGTTTTATAACTGTAAACAATGACCCCGAGTATTGTTTGGGATTACCGTATCTTGGGGCCCTTGGGGCAGCCAGATGCTGCCAGCCGTCCCGGAAACGCCAGCGCTTTATATAGAGCCCCGGGAAAGCGTCGAGTTCCCGGCTCTATTTTTTTTCCCTAGCAACGCCCCCACTTCGCAGATAAGGAAACTGAGGACTGCAACTGTGTTGGGGCGCATGGCGCTTCACAGCCCTCAGTGAAACCCCAACGACGTATCTTGCTCATTTGGTCCTAAGGACCCTTCGGGGTACGGATGGCGCTACTTTACGAGATGGGTAAACTGAGTCCACCGCAGGCCCTGGACCAGTCTTGACTCCTGCTACAGTGCTTCTCTGGTCACGCATCATCTCGGCAGGACGGCAGCTCCACGGGAGACAAAGGCCTTAGAAGGTCATGTCCCAAACCCTTCTTTACAAGGGAGGAAAGTGAGGCCCAGAGAGGTGAAGGGCCTCGCCCAAGCGCTCCCAGCTCAGCCCGGGGTCCGGACTCCACGGCCTGCCCTCAGCCTGCGCCCACCCTCCCAGCGAGGCGAGAAGACCCCCGAGTCCAGCTGGGCGCCCTGAACTTCGCTCCGAAACAGCCGCAGACAACTTGGGCCACCCCCTCCCCCCTTGAAAACAATTGTAACCGTAGCAGCCTGGAGTTCGCTTATAAGACCCGATTAGTTCTATTAGATGCGTCCTAAATGCCTGTTCTAGAGGGCGGCCGGAACGTCGCGACCAGTGAATTTTGTCTTCAAAGCTGCCCCTAACAAGTGAACTGTAGGACCGAAAAAATTAAAAAAACAGAAACACACAAAAAAGGGAAGCAGTGGGCTGCCCGCCGCGGAGAGAAAAACAGGCAGGCCAGCCCCGCCTGGCGGCGCCGCGCCGCGCCCCACCAAGACCCAGCCGCAGGGCGGCGCGGTAAGCGGCGCCCAGGGCGCCCCTGCACCCGCCGGCGCCGCGGAGGGTGCGGACGGCCGCGCGTGGCCGCGCCCTCCCTGCGAGCGGCTCTGCGCGACGGGCTCCCGGCCTCGCGGTGGCGCCGCGCTGAGCCGCCCGTCTCGTCCTCGGGACTGCGATTGTTTTCTGAAACCCCGGGTCTGGGCCGCGCGGCGGCGCTCGGCCCCGCCCCGCCCCGCGCCCCTCGCCCCTCGCCGAGGCGGGGGAGGCAGCGGCGCGCCGGGGAGCGAGCGGGCGAGGGAATCCCTCTCCCTCCACGTCACCCGGGAGCGAGGAACCCCGCACTCGCGTCCTCTAACGCAAATGACCATCTTTGGCAACGTGCGCCAATGGAACAGACCAAGGGCACCGGGCCCGGGGGGTGGGCAGGGCCGGGGCCGCCGCGGCTCCCTCAGCCCGCGCGGCTGCCCGCTCCCACCCTCACCGCCGCCTTCTTGCCCCGCGCGGGGTGTGCGGCTGGCGTCAGCGCGGCCTCGGGCCCGGGCCGGGAGGAGCTGCGCCCGCCTCCTCCTCCGCGCCTCTTCTTCCTCCTCCTCCTCCTCCTCGCGCGCTCCTCCCTGCAAGGTGGAGTCTGGGGTTGACGTGAGTGAATCCTTGTGGTAGGGGCTGGAGAATAAAGAGTGTGGAGTTGAACTCGTGCCATTGTAGTGACTCATCTCGGGCAGAGCGCAGGGGCTCCGAGCGAACTAGCGAGCGAGCGGTGCTCGGCGGGGACGGAGAGAGGGCGAGGCGCGGACGCGCGAGGCGGGCCCGTCCGGGAGCGGGCGCCGGGCGAGGGTGCAGGCGGGGCGCGGGGCCGCGTCCCCTCAGAGCCGGCGCAGCGCGAAGCCCACGGCCGCCTGCTGTCCCGCGGCGCGCTCGGCTCCCCGGACCCGGCGCACGCCGCCTCAGTCAAGTGTCCGAGCCGCTCGGAAACTCCGGCGGCGAGCCGGCCACAGGAAGTTTATTTTCGGTCTCTTTTTCTGAAAGGAGGAAACAAGTTTCTCCGAGCGGCCAGCCTTTCTTTTTGCCTTTTTTGGCCCTGTCTACGGTCCAGGGTCCCAGGTCTGCCGGGCGAGGCTCGCCGGGCTCCTGTTCATTTTTCCTTTCCCGTTTTTCTCCGGGTCGTCGGCCGCGGCGTGGCTCCGGCTGCGCGGGGGGGGAGGGCGCGCGAGGGAGGGACGGGGACGGGACGCGGTGACTTTTTAGAGGGAGGGACCGGCGCGCCACTGGTCCCGCGGAGCAGGAGAGGAGTGCCGTGCCGGGCGCTCGGGGACGCTTCCCGGGTGTCGCCACTTCCCGGTCCCGGAGCGAAGACCGCGGCCGGCGGACGAGCGAGCGCGCAGCAGTCTGAGCGCGGCCGCGAGGGCGGGGAAGAAAAACACCCTGTTTCCTCTCCGGCCCCCACCGCGGATCATGTACCAGGATTATCCCGGGAACTTTGACACCTCGTCCCGGGGCAGCAGCGGCTCTCCTGCGCACGCCGAGTCCTACTCCAGCGGCGGCGGCGGCCAGCAGGTAGGTGCGGGCGGCGGGTGCACCTGGCGGCGCGGCCGGACTCCAGCCCTCCTCTCACCGCCACCGCCTCTGGCTTGCTTTCTTTTCCTCCTCTTGGCCTGGCAAGAACGTATTTACGGGCCACTGTTTCTAAGTTGTGGATTTTTGTCCTGCTCCACCCCACCCGCCCCTAGCACTTTTTTTTTTTTTAATTGGACCGGGCAGTGGGCTTGAAGAACCGACACACCCTTTCCTTTACTTTGTATTCAGAAAAGCTCCCGGAATTGCAGGTCCTCTGCCCGGGAGCCTGCTACCTTCTTCGAGAACCCCACCTCCCGCCTTCCCTCATCTCCGCGGCGGACAGAGACGGAAATCTTTGCACCCACTAATCCTTCCCAACAGCCCTGTTCCTGGGGGAGAGAGAGCCCTCTCCCTCTCTTCTGGCCTCCATCGATCTTAGCTCATTTCTGGAAAAGGTTGGGGACTGAGAAACATGGTTGGGCTGCTTCAGGTAATGGGGAGTGACAGGGAGTGTTGCCTCTGGGAATCAAGTGCGAAGGTCAGGCCCCCCCGGAGGCCCGCCTTGATTGGCTCCTGCGTGCCCCGCGTCAGTTACCTGTAAGGGTCCAGCCAGGAACTTGCAGTGCTCTGGGAGCAGTGCCTGGAGGGTCTGGGGGTAGCTGGGGTTAGGACGCTGGCAGAGAGAAGCAAGGGAAAGAGACATCACTTGGGCTCCTGGGTGTTTCTGGAAGTAGAAAAACAACTTGTTTCTAAAGCAGCCAGACTGGTTTACACTGGAGGGGTTGTGCCTGTGATTTGTGTGTCTGTAGGTACCAGAAAGGTGCTGGTGGGGTGGCTTCCCTCTGCAGCTGCTCCCCAACTGCTGCCTGGCGAAGGAGCCGGGTTAGCTCTCCAGGCCCTCTGCAGCCCAAAGCCCACCTTGGTCAGCGTCTGTGGGGTCTCTAGCCAAGATGACCAGAGGATGAGTTGCTCCATTAGGCGGTGGCCTTGGCCTCTAGAAGTCAGCCAGGCAGGAGGGGCTGGGGTGGGCTTCCAGGAAGGGGTGGACCCAGCTGGAGAACATAATGTGAACATGGCTCTTTGTTGGATCTGAAGAGGAATATCCATTTCAAAGTGATTCCCCATACCTGGTGAGTCCTAAATGGCTTTTCTGCGTCTTTCCTCTAGCCTCCCACCCCCACCGCCAGCCCCAGACGGCTGAGCATCCACTGTAGAAGGTCCAGTCTGCGGATTGAGTAAGCGCCCTTAAATTGAGTGCGTCGGTGATGAATTTAAAGTCTTACCCGCAAAGTTCATTATGTTTGCTTCCCAGCCCAGTTGGTGGTTTGTGTTGGCTTCAAACATCATTAATTAATGGGTTAGAATAGTTTATGCCCATTCCCTCAGTTTCCAGTTCAACAAAACCCAAAACGCCTTGCCTCTCTCCGCCTGCCTCCCAGAATCAGAAAGGGATTGGATTTCTTCTCCATTCCTTTCGCTAACACGTCTGAGACAGTCATCCTTGACCGTGCAGCCTCGCTGCTTAGCTATGCTCAGACCTTGGGGCCTGGATAGGAAGAAGACCGGACATCACTGCCCCAACTGAGTAATCTGTGTCACTAGGGCTTTGAGCCCAGGATGTGAGCGGAGGCAATTCCCTGTTTTGGAAGCAAATCAGACAGGAAACCAGTGGTAGGAAGAAGGAAGAGAACTCAGTCCAGCAGAGTGTAATGGGGCCTCATTACCAAAGCAAAAAGCAGCTGTTGGCTAATTTCTAGCATGCTGTAACACATGAAGATTTTGCAATTAGCAACAATCAGCACACAGGTTCTCATGTACTCTTGCCCATTCAGCCCAGCAGTGTGACCAAAGCGTCTTTCAAACCCAAGGGATTGGAGAGGTAATGTGCTGCTTAGAGGAGCACATTAGAGGAGCACTCTTCTTTCTGCCTGAACTGGGGTGGTGTTTAGGGGAGGGATGAAGGAGCCGCGGCAGGGAGAGTTTTTCCAGCATTGCTCTGACTTTTCACAAAATTATTCTGTGAACCTAAGGACTGATCTCAGAGCTGTTGCTCCCTGGTGAGTTTGTGCTCTGACTTCGCCCTAGCTTGGGCTCAAGGTAACTTTATTACATACCAGATAAATCCTGTAATCATTTTATTTCTCTGGGCTGCCTTTATGGGCAGACTTTTCTGGTGGTTAGTTGCTGGGCTTCCTCCTTTATGGCTTTGCAATGGACCAGTCAGTATGAGGCAGTTCTCAGATTCTTGTTTGTAGGGTCCAATGTTCCAGATAAGTTTGTTGCTGGTACTCAACCCAGAGCTTTCCTCTCCTCTCTAGTGGCAGAAGGCAAACTGAACACAGGGCCACAGATTCCAGTGACTTGGGGCATGGGGAGCAGACAGCTCTTTGTTAAAGCCTCAGTTCTTGTATATGGCAGGAACTTGAATCCTGAAAAATATTTTCTATTGCAGTTATAATTCTAATCTCAAAGATTGGTCATTGGTGTGGGGTTTTTTGGGGTTCTTTTTTGGTTTGTTTTTTTTTTTAGAACAGTTACACATACCATCCCCTTCTGGAGTTTACTTTTTGTTGCTGTTGTTATTTTCTCTCACCTGTCTTTCCTAGGACAACACTTCCCAGATATATACCGTGCCTGGCTGCTTGACTGTTAGGATTCTGGGCCTGGGCATTATGCAATCCAGCCAGTTACACAAACATAGGTCATTTCATAACTTGTTTTCATCAGCCAGGCCCCCCTTTTAATGAAGAAACAAAACAAAAACACGACCCAGAACTTTTTCGAGGCTACTGTCTGTTTCTCAGATAACTTGTAAAAATAAATTAAGTGGGGGTATTTCCTTTTTGGAAATCAAGGAATATCAGTCTCTCTTCTTCCTCATCCACTCCCAGCCCCCCCCCCACAAATGCACGCACAAAATTCCCCGGAGTGAACTTTTGCCAACTGTACAGAGCTGGGACATTCCTCACATCAAAGAACTTTTACCAGAAATGACTGTGATTCCCAAGTCAGCCTCAATCATACCTCTCTGGTGCCCCCTACAGGACATCTTGAGAAGAACTATCTTGGGAATGTATTTTTCCAGCCCCAGAAGAGTGTCAACTTGGTTAGTTTTTGGAATTCTTAGGATTTTTCTTTTTATTTAGGGACAAATAAATGCCGTATTTTTAACAGTGGTTAACTAGGAATGGTTTGACTTCAAAATGAGTTTCTTTTTTATTTGTTTTTTTGTTCTAAATAAAGCCTGGTTGGAAAAGAAGTGCTTTCTTCCTTTTCGTTTTAATGTCTGTCTGTTCGTTAGGGGCCAACACAATATTATCACATTCCCAAGGCTTATTTTCTTCCTGTGTTCATAGACATGTGTGTTTGTGTGTGAGTTGTTCAGAATTGGTGGGAAGATGAGAGATGTATATTAGGGATCTGGGTGCCCTTTAGTTTAATTTTTTTTTTTTTTGCCTTGATTTTACAGATGTTGTAGATTAGGATCAACAAAATGCTATCCCAGGAATTTGTCTGTTCCACTGATTCTTGGTGGAAGTCAGCCTCATGTTTTCATCAAAGTGAGTGGGGTGAAGTAGCAGTCATGTATTGTCTGAGTGGCAGTTGAATTTTCATATCTAAAACCCTGAGTGCATTTCCATTATGATACTTCTGCCTGTCTTATTGTTCAGGGTGAATGTGAAATTAGGAAAGCCGATTTTGTTCCTTTTCTGTCTTAATACAAACACATCAGAACTTATATATCTAAATCACTGTTGTGCCCTTCATCCTTGTTCCTTTAGGAGACTAAATACTTACTTGAATGTTATGGCTATGGTCAGACTTGGAAAAATTTTGCAATGTGCTTCTTTTATAATTGTTTTCAACATATTCTTTTGGAAATCCTCCCTCCTAACATCTTTGGCCCCCTAAGAGTGACTTAGATATTCAGAAATTACCAAATGAACTTTGGGAAAGCAAGTCTGACATATACAGTGCAGGTGACCAGGCTGGGTCCAAATTAGAGTGTGGCCCCAAGTTCCGTGGCTCTTGGTCTTGACAGTTTGCCTGGGAAACTGCCCGCTCCCCTTGCCAAAGCGCACCAAAGATGGCATCTTTGCCATCTATACCTTAGCTTTTTCCCTCTGTTAAACAGGAAGAGATACTGGTTTTCAGAATTAAGGAAACTAACTTTCTGGTTTATATGTTGAAAGAAAGAAAAAAATATCATCACTTTGTAGATAGGTCTCATATGGTAACTTTTGGTGGTCACAGCATTTCACAACGATGCCAGCTGCTCTGATTGAGGTAAATATATCTGTTCCAAACCCCATTCAGTAATTCTACCCCTCCTCAGCTCCCTGGGCTGGAGGGGGAAGATGCAAGAGTTCTCAGCCCTGTCTCTCAGCCCTGTTATGTGGCTGACATCCTGCAGTTCTAAAGGAAGGTGAGACGTTAGCCTTCCTGTTGAGCGCAGCACTCAGAGGATTGATGGCAGTAGGAAGAGGTGCCTAGGACAGTGGAGTGAATTTTCCAGTGCTTGGGAGTGGAGTTTCTGGCCAGAAGGACCCTGGCAACAAATAATCCAGGAAACCTGAGGATGGCTTCATATCAGCAGCTGTTATCTTTTTCTTTTCTTCCTTGCCTTTTTTCACCCAAGCAGTGAGGTAATAGAGGATTGAATGGTTCTTTCAAGTGAAGCTGAGAAAGCTTTGTACACAGTAAGACTTTGGAAATCATGAGTTACTAGTGACAACTTCCATTGTGACATAAGCAGCATTTCCTCAGAGAAGAATGAAAGGTTGGATGTCGGAGTGTTGTCCAGTGCATGCTCTGTGAGGCCTGGTTGAATTCCACTCTGAAGGCTTTGGAGGATATCCTGGCTTCGATAAGAACACCGAGTCTTTGCATTGTATTGGTGTTGGACCGTGACAGGGACCGCACGGGAAGCATTAAGACAGCATTTGCTCTTAACCTTTCTTTTCCTGGAGCCAGTCTTCTGCGATGTTGGAATTTTCCTTTCCCCATCTTGGGAATGTAAAAACAGAGAAAGAGCCTAGTCCCCTCTCAGACATCATACCTGCCTTCCTGATGGAGCACATCAGAGTCCACAGGACTCAGGGTGTGGATGACTGGGGACCCCTGGAGGGAATCACTCTGAAGGAGAAGTGCCTGCCTAAGCGGGTGGGCCAGGAATACCAGCCATGACTTCCATGTCAAAGGGGTGCCTGTGGGAACTGGAGACCCAAACCTTCATTCTGTGACCATTCAGCAGAAGGCCACAGATGTGAGCCTCCTGTCTCATGTAGAGTCCCCAAAGGCTGTTTTCCCAAGTTAGCAATGGATGACTATAGGACTTCTCTAGCCTGCTGGAGTCAGCCCTGTGTTCCCTGCTACCTCTTGTGGGGAACGGGAACGGAGGGCATGTGATACTCAGTGAGCAGCCCATGGTGCTCCAGGCACAGGGTGCTCTCGGGTGGCACCGAGATTCCCGTGCTCAGAGACCCACAACTCAGCCTGTAAGGATTTGGAGGTCCAAGCTGATGAAGGAGGCCCATCTCCTTGGCTCCCCGGGTCAGAGTACCTGAGCCAAACAGGTGAGAATGATCTTCTAGGACGGGGGTTGGCAAACTATTTTTATAAATGAAATTTAATGAAGTCTGGGCATGCCTGTTTGCTTGTATTATCTATGGCTCTCCACAGGATATGATGGCGGAGTTGAGTTTCGACATAGACTCTGTGGCCCACACAGCCTAAAGTACTTGCCGTCTGGCCCCTCATAGCCAAGCTTACCAGATTCAGCTCTAGGAGGTCTGTGGGAACACTTTTGTCCTTGTATAACTATGTACCCAGAAGTAGACAGGGTGACACAGTTAAAGTATCTGGAGGCTTTGCCAGGCTGGAATGCAGCACACGAATCCAGCATCTTCAATCCTGTCCCTAGAAAAGGAGCTTCCTAGGGGCCTAGAGTCCTGGGAGCCGGGTCACCTCCCCACCCACACTGCCCGTAAGCTGCTCGTACTGCAGCATGCAAAACCATCCAGGTGCTGCAGCCTGGTTAAATGTTAACTCGGGGAGCCATGGTTCATCCACAGCAGAACATTGGGTGGTTCTTGGGCCTGTTGGCTTAGAAGACCGCCAGGCGAACTTCTGGGACCACAAACTCCTAACCTCACCTCTTTTCTCCTAGCCCAGTGTTGCATTCTGAATGATACGTTTGGAGTTGAAACAAAGCCCATCTGCCAGATTTAATTGAAACTTTTGTGTGTCTCCCAGAGAGGCTCCTCTGGAGACAAAACCTTCTTTATCAGGCCCCAGGCCCCTCTGGGGATGGGACGTTGTTTTCCTTGCAGTTTGGAGCCAGTGTGTTAACCAGATGGCTTTGCCTCCTGTCTGAAACAAGGTGTACATGCGATTCAGAGGCAGTCATTACCTCCTGCCTTGTTTTTATTGCTGTCTTGTTTTGTCTAGACCCAGCCATTGCCGTAAGGAGGCTGGCTGATGTACACTGGGAGGTGCATTCCGAGGACCTAAGGGCCTGCCGGTCCGTGGAGTAGGGGGCTGAGAGGCGGACCCCATCCCTAAGTAATCTTAGTCTCCCCGCTTTGCTTCAGGTTTCTGCTTGCTTCCCCAATCCTGAAACAGGTACACTTTTGTTTGTTGGGGAGAGTGAGTTTCTTGGGTGCTTTCCTGGAAGGAAAGCTGACAGCTCCTCTGTGGAGGAGGTTACACAGTTAGATCATGGGCGCCTTGCACGCACTTCAACCCTGGAACCTGACTTGGGGAGAGACACGGAACACAAATGCTGGGTGCTTTCCAGGAGTGGAAGCTGGCTATTCTCCCTGGAGTCGCCCAGTGCCGGGTACACAGATCCGTGTAATGATGCTGCCACAGGGTTGCCGGCGGCCATGATAGTACCTCCCATGTGGAGCACAGTGTTTCAACCCTGGCTGCACATTAGAATCCTTTGGGCATTTAAAAAATAGCTTTATCAGAACGCCAACCCCATTATTTTAGACCTCTCATGATGAGGCTCTGACACTGGTGTTTTTGACAAGCTCCTCTGCATACTCTAGTGGGCAGCCAGGGTTGAGATGCAGCCTGTGATTACAAGTAGCTACTTATTTCGACCTCATGGTGCAGGGAGCTGGGTGTTAGTGTTCCCTTCTCTGTCCTGGAATGGAGTCATCAGGAACTACCCCAGGGCAAACCCCTTCACGGCTAAGGCAGCCTCCTGACACCAAGCGCAGTGTGACTCCCCCGTCCCTGCCACCCAGCATCCTGGGAGAAAACGTACTGTCTGGGATGCAGTACCTCTGCATGCCTGTGGCCATGCCCACTGTTTTCACATGTCTGCCTCCCCACAGCCCAACAGGCCAGCCCTGGCCATCCGATTTTCCTCCTTGGAGATCATTTCCCACTTGGATCCTGTCTTGTTCTCTGCATGCTTCCCTCCACACACACCTGCTTCTTTTCAGTCAGCTTGTGGTAAAAAGCCCAGTTATATTTGTCTTCAAAGGTACAACTCAGAATCTATTGCTCTGAGCTGCTGTCCTCTGGAATCCCAGAATCCATTGCACCAGGCAGCCTTCCTCATAGCATCCCAGAATCCATCGGTCTGACAGCTCTTCTTATAAGTGTATTGTTCTAGGCAGCTCTCTTCACTGAATGCCCTTGGCTTGGTGTCCTGGGGAAGTCTGGGAGGTGGGGCAGCTACTACTATCCAGACTGGGGTCAGATGAGTGCCAGGGAGGTGAACGAGGAGGGATTCCCAGCTCTGCCAACTACAGTGAGGTACTCTGAGGTTCATTTTATTTACACAGCAGAAACCCAGATATTGTCACCCATGGCAGAGATAATAGTGGTGGCAGTTGCTGATGCTTCTAATCCTGGTTGGTCTGACTGGACCAGAGTGGGGGATACTGTAGCATCTGTGCTAATGATAGCAGGATTTCACTGGGGGCCAAACGGATCTGTGGGACCTCCTTGGTCTGTAGGGACCCTTGGCAAGGGTGATCTGAAGATCGCTGTCTGAGGACAGTGGGGATACCACTGCTTAGAGCTGCATTTTGAGGAAGAAAGAAGCAGTGCTAAAGAAGCTGATGTGGCACCATATTGAGAAGTCCAGCCTCTTTGTTACACTGAACTGGGTTTGAATCTTGACCCCACTGCTTATTAGCCATGTGGCCTTGGATAAGTTACCTAATCTCTCTCAGACTAAATTTCTGCCTTGAAAATGAAGGTGGTAGTCATTCTTACCCTCGAGGGAGAATTAATGAGATAATGTAGGTGAGATATTAGCATGGTGCCAGTCTTTTAGTAAGTGCTGGCTATTGTTATTGTCATCATTTTATCCACCAGATTAAGGGGGTAAGATCTGGAGAACCTTTTTGTGGGCGCAGGCGTCATCTGAGGGTGAGGATTTACTTGGGTTCCACTGGGGCTTTTCTCCTGAAATGCTGTAAATGGGGCGCCCTCCCCTTTTTCCTAGTTACCGGGCACTGCTACGGAGAAAGGCTGAGCCCAAATGCTGAGGAATGCAGCCCATTTTCATCTCTGTACCCTGTCATCATCTTATATTTAAGTAGAATGCTTCCTGTAGTGTGTTCCAGAGAGCTCTTCAATGTGGTCTGGGAATAAATTAAGAGACAAGGAGAAACTCTGAGCTGGCAGCACTGGTTTCCTGCAGACACATATGCGAACCAGACAGACAGACGTGTAGATAAGTAGAGAGCATGTCCAGCCCAAGAGAGATGCTGATGAAGGGAAAGAAGGAGGGATGAGGACCGCAAGAAGAAGCTTGGCTGCAGATACCGTGCTCATGGGCTAAAGGACACATTCTCACGGCCTTGACAGCATGGAGTCATAGCCCCATTTTGAACCTCTTTGGAAAGTGACAGATGCAGATACAGTCTGCTTCTCAGCGATCTTTATTGCTCCAAAGCTGCTGGGATGCAGGTCTCCAAGTCAAGGTGTCCTGAGCTAGTGTCCCGGAGAATGATTAGCAGGTGACTCCGGCTTGGGAGGCCCAGATGCTTGCAGATGTGTGCGCTGGGGGCTGCAGGGTGAGTATGAGCAGCTGGCCATCATGGCTGTCTTAGAAGCCATTTGGGCTATGGCAGCACCCTCACTGAGCCACTTGGGAATGAAGTCCTGAGGTCCCCGGTCAGGGAGCAGATAGAGCCAAGGCCCAGGAGGAGCTAAGAGCCTCCTGATCTTTGGATGTGTGGCACCTACACAGGATTTGTCCAGGAAAGCCCACCGGGGGCCCTGACCTTGCTCCCCAAGCACTGACCGTGCTGTCTTTGGTTTTTGCCTCAGCTCTGCCCGTCCTGTGCCTCTCACTGTTCACTGGCTCAATCATACCCTTCTCCTCGTTTCAGAAGTTCCGGGTAGATATGCCTGGCTCGGGCAGTGCCTTCATCCCCACCATCAACGCCATCACCACCAGCCAGGACCTGCAGTGGATGGTGCAGCCCACAGTGATCACCTCCATGTCCAACCCCTACCCCCGCTCGCACCCCTACAGCCCCCTGCCGGGCTTGGCTTCCGTCCCTGGACACATGGCCCTCCCAAGACCGGGCGTGATCAAGGCCATCGGCACCACTGTGGGCCGCAGGAGGAGAGACGAGCAGGTACACCCCAGGCCAGCGGCAAGGGCCGCGTTACTGTGGTCACCCGTGGGGGCTCGCAAGCTCGGAGTGGTTTTCTGCAGGCCGATGGGGAGCAGCATGAATGTTCTGGATGCACTGGGGAGGCCAGGGAGCCAGACACTAAGGGGAGACAAGGCAATGCCTTTGTCAGAGGTAGAGCTGCCGACCTGAGTCATCTCACCGGTATCCCTCAGAAGAGCCTCAGTTTTCTCAGCTGCAAAACGAGGACAGTGGTTTTTGCCAGCTGCAACTTGATGCTCTTGGGAGACCGTGTCTGGGAAAGTACACTGTAGGTGTAAAGTGTCAGTGGATAGGAAGGACCATCCTGACTGCCCACAGCAGTACCCTGCTCTGAGCCTTGGCAGAGGTCACGCCGTGAGCACCACAAACTGGCTCTGAGCTGTTTTGGATTGGCCCTTACCCATCTCCCAAGTGTCTGGAGCACACCAGGCACCCAGCGCACCTGCACGGTCACACTCAGGGCTGGTGCTACCCACATGACTTCCTGATCTCCCTCAGTGGGCCTTCGACTCAAAACAGCAGCCCATTTCAGGTGTCCAGAAAGTTCTCTATGTCCCAGAAGTACAGTGACTCTGGGCAGGGCCTCAGGAGCTGTCTAGCTGCTTTAGCTGATGGGGATGGTGGGAGGGGGGCTCGGCTTTGAAAGAGGCCTAGGGAAGGAAGTCAGAGAATGGCGAGGTCTCTGCTTTATAAGAAGCATCTCAATATTCAGAAGTCCTATCACCTGCATTCACAGTGAGCCGGGGCAGCACTGAACCCCATGGTTCCTGAAAGAAAAATCAGAACCATGCATGGTTCCTGAGGGAAGGGGCTGGGGCCTTCACAGGGCTCCGTCCGCCCTCTTTCCACATGAGGCAGGCAAGGATAGGCCCATCTGGCTGTGCTCACTTGGCAAGTGAATGGGCAGGTTTTGGCGGCCCTGACCCAGTTCCCTGGACTCCCCTCGAAGTGGTCTTCCTGCAGGCCCAAGCCACCGTGACCCCTGGAAAGGCAAAATACTTTAGCAGTGGACTCCCTTATTCAAGTGAAATGTGAACCTGAGAACTACTCCAGTTCTAGCACGGGAACCCTTCTCTAGTCCAAATCCTCATTCTACTCTGGGACCCCCAGGGGCCACCACATCCCAATAAAAGGACCTTTAAATATGGTTCCCTGCGGGTAATGGTGGACCCAGCGCCACTAAGATGCTTAGAATTACAGCGATAACCAGTCCAAGGAACCAGAAGCCTTTTCAGGAGCCCTGTGCTCCTCTGGGAACAAAGTTGGGCCCATTAATAATGCAAGGCCCATGGGGAGGAACGGAGTAATAAATAGACCCCATGCTTACACGTTGGGCCTCTGCCACTGGGGTAGGGGCCACTCTGGCCCTGACCATTACTTTCCGTAGTTGCAGTTGTAAATACTGCAGCAGCAGTGAACATAATATCCTTTAGAAATAAGCTTCCCGCAGAGTCTTAGGTGCAAAGCTTTATGGTCACTGAGGAGCCAGATTCTCCCTGGATGTAAATGACATCATGTGACACCAGGCTTGAGAGGAACTCTTGTTGGCTGGCAGGACAACAAAACAAGATGTGCTCTGATCACTCTTTCTTTTCTGCCGGGGCTGCCTCATTGCCACTTTTATATATGTCTATCTGGAAGGGACTTGAGAAGCCGTCTTTTCTAAGTTTCCCTCTGTATTATCATTGGTAAACAAACTCAGGCCCAGGAAGGAGAAAGGTGCTGTCCAGAGACACACAGCGATTTCGTAGGGAAGGTGGGACTGGAATCCACCTCTCTGACCTTTAACCCGGAGTTTCTTCCCACCACACCACCTAGCTGTGCCCTAAGACAGTCTGTCTGGAGAATTTCCATCCTTTTTTGAGAGGAAGAGAGAGCACCAGGGGAATTTTCTTCCCTGTCAATTAGGAGTTCAGACAATCACTGCCTTGAGGAAGCCCGGGCAGCTGGATCCTAGAACTATAGTGCTTAGGTTCCTAGCCCTGGGGTCTTTTTCTGCAGGCTTCTGCCTGTCCCAGCTTCCCCAACCTGCGACCAAGGGCCAGCCTGGGGCCTCATGGCCCTCCGTCGCTTGCCCAGGAAGCTCGGCCAGGAAGCTCGCTCTGGGCCCAGGTGAGGTGACTGGCAGGCAGGGAGGGGAGGGTGTGTGTGGCTTGTGGGTGGGTCTGTGGCAGTGCCGACACACTCAAGCCATAACCATGCTGATCTCACCGCCCCTGAACACTTCCTATGTCAACAGCTTCCATAAGTTGCTACACCTCACCAGACAGGGCACAAACTTCTGGGCCCCAAAGTTTTCCAGGGGAAGGAAGGCTGGAAGTGGACCAAGGCCAGCCCTTCCTCTTTTCTGCCCCTAGCAGTGAGTGTTCTCTGGGCTCACTGGACTTTTAGGGGGGCTGTGATGGGCCTGCTGGTGAGCCCTAAACTCAGGCCTTCAGCAGGACCCTGGGCTGTCTTGGAACTGGCCCTGGTTGGCCTCAGGTCAAGACAGAGGTAAGGACAGCAAATGTTGAGGACCTTGGCCAAGTGGCCTTGTGACCTTGGCCAGGTAGACAGTCTGAGGTTGTCCTTTTTGATACTGTGCCCTGCTTTACTATTCAGGACATCACAGCAGCAGATGGCCAGGGTAGCAAGAAGCATCCCTGGACTGTGACCCGGGCTCAGCCGCTACAGTGGCTCATGCCCTCATGGAGCGAGCAGCAGTGCAGGCAGCGTCCTCCGTGGGAGTACCTTCCTTCTCCTTCCCCAAGAGCGCCTTCAGCTTTCCCCATGTGTCCTTTGAGGGTGATGCCCAGGTCTTGTTCCTCTTGCATATTCTAAGCCCCTCTAGCATTGGGCACATAGGTGTGCAGTGAGACCTTCTACCCAATGAGAAGGTCTGTCCTTTGCCTTGCTTTCTGCTTTGGCCCACAGCCATCTTCCTGGGTCACCTGTGTCTGAGAGGAGCACAGATCACATCTCTGGCAGAGCCTGGCCCCACTTAACAGGGTGGGTCTTGCCCTCTGGCCTAATTTACAATTCTCTAGCCATCCTCGTTGTGAGGAGCTGGATCCTGAGCTCTGCAGAGGGATCTTCCTTCGGTTTATAAATCAGCCCCAAGACCCTGGAGCTGTCTTGAGGTGCTCAATTGTCGAATGAATGGAAAGGGTGGGCAGCGGGACTTAGCATGCTCGGGTGCTCCTCCTGCTGCATAGGGTCTTGCCTGTGTGGGGACTCCTGGCCCAGCTACTTACCCAAATGGGGATAATGAGGCCTGAAGAGCTGCAGAGTGTGGGGGAGGAGTAATTAGCCAGGGTTTGGAGGAAGCTGCTGCAGGGGGTGGGGTCAGGCCTGGCGAGCTGGAGGGGACTCCTCTCTGGCCCGGGCTTTGAACAGAGCTGACACACCAAACGCTGCCATGGCGCAGGGGCCACTGAGTCCTTGCCTCTTTGCTGCCTTGTTCTCCCTTTAAACACGGGACATCACCCTCCAGGGCAGACTCTGCAACAAGAGCCATCTAGGCAGCGCGCCTTAGGCAGCCAGAGAGAGAGCAGCGCGCCTGCCGTAGGTTCTGGGACCTCTGCACCTGGCCTCAGCCCTCTTCTCCTCCTGCCCTTCCCCAGTTCCAGAAGGGCTGACTGTCACATTTGAAATGCAGCTTTCAAAAATGCTTGAACCATTCCCCTTGTCCTAATCATGATTTTTGACCTTGGCCTCCAGCTGTCTCCTGAGGAGGAAGAGAAGCGTCGAATCCGGAGGGAGAGAAACAAGCTGGCCGCTGCCAAGTGCCGGAACCGCCGCCGGGAGCTGACTGAGAAGCTGCAGGCGGTGAGGAGCTCACCAGGGTGGGCACGCTCGGGTGGGTGTGAGAGGGCCCAGGGCTCCCTGTGCTCAGGTGCCCGAGGACGAATCAGCGGAGATGAAACATCTCTTCCTTTGAGCACATGGCTCACTTTTGATGAATAAAAAAGAGAGGAGGACCAGGCCTCTGCCACCAGGCTGGGCCTGGACAGAAGAACTGGAAGCTCGGTAGGCTGCCATCTATTCTCAGTGCTGAGTGCTCTCTGCTGTCAGACCGGCTGGGGCCCCTGGGTGAGGGGCGAGGGGTATCTGTATCCCTGCTCCCCGGGAGCCAGTGTGGATCCAGAACCCCTCCAGGCTCTTCCTAAGCTCCAGCCTGGCCTAAGTGCTCTGGTGGGAGTGGGGTGGGGTGGGGATTCCCAAGGGCGACAGGTCATGTGCCAGCTGAGTTGCATTTTCCTGGGGTTTCTCATCTCCTTGTTGGCAGCAGGGTTGCCCACCTCTGTCACGAGCCTTAGCGCCTCATGCTGCCCTTCTGAGTCACTCTCTCATGCTCCCTAATTGCCCGGACCTGGGGGCCCATGGGCCTGCCCCTCCCTCTGGTAAGCTTGACCTGACAGATGTCACTTAACTCCCTCCAGGGCCGGCCCAGCCAGGAGGGCCGTGTGCTGTGTGAGGAAGCCCAAAGCCAGGGCTGGCTCTCTCGGGAGGGAGGGAAATGTTTTCCAAGTGGAGGGATCTGAGAGACTGTCGGTGGTCCCCACAGTGCCCGGCCAGGATGGGGCTTTGGAGTACATCCCATCAGGGGCTTCAGTACTCCAGTACTGCCCACCTGCTCGAGCTTCGCTCGGTGGCTCTTGCAGCCCTGCTCTTAGGCACTGAGTGTGTATTGCGTGTTCCCGTGATGTGGGTGGTAATGCCCCGCAGAGGTGTTGGAGCCAGGGAGGATGGCTGAAGTTCTCCCTCCCAGCTGAGGTGGACGCCACGCCATGGGGAGCTCCTCAGCTCAGCCCTCCCCACTGCTAACCTTCCTGGTGGGACTTCAGGAGGCGTTCTTACCGCCAGCCCAGAAGAGCCCTCCCCCAGGTCCTGCTACCTTCCTGCCTCCTCCTAGAAGCCTCACACCCTACACCCCTGCCTTCCCCGCCCCTGACCCAGCCACCCAGGCCCCTGAGCCACATCCTCCACAGGAAGCCTCTCACAAGCTCATGACGTTCGTCAGACCCTTGAAACAGACGGAAACTTTTTTATTCCGGAATATGCTACGCTCTGCTTCATGAAGCTCTTGCCGGTATCTCCTCATTCGTGAACAGGAATCTGAGTTAGGGAAAAAGTTGGGGGGAGGCTGGTGACTCACACCTTTCCTCTCTCACAGCTGCCCCTTCCGTGTGCACTCGTGTGAAAGGGGGGTTGAGGTCTTTGCAGGGCAAGCGACCTCATAGGGTATCAGGTACCTCCTCTGTCCTGCCTGTGGCTGAGCCGAACGCGCTCCGAGTCCTATGAGTCCAGAGACAGAGGCTTCCGAGACTGGAGCCAAAATGGGAGGACCCCGCTGGGATGGGCTGAGCACTTATTTCAAGCCAGGCACTGTCCGAGTGCTGGGGATAGAGGAGCACGCACGACCAAGGCTCCACACGCCCGCAGCCTTGGCTTCCGGGTCTGTGTCCACAGGGCCACTGGCAGGGGGCCGAGGAGGAGTGATGCGCCCAGCTGCGTTTCGTGCTCCCCTCTCCATGGAAGCCTCTGTTAGCCCTCAGGGAGCCAGGGGCAGTAGAATGTGGGCTCTGGACTGTGAAATCAGACGCACTGGGATTCAAATCTGGACAGCCCTTCCTGCTAGCTCTGCGACTCTGGGGAAGTTTTAAACCTCTCCAAACCTCAGTTTCTTCATCTGCAAAAAGGGGTTGAGGATAACTTCTGCTTTCAAAAGCTGCTGGAGGATTGAAAGAGGTGATCTGTGAATTGCTTAGCACAGTGTCTGGCACAAAGTAAGTGCTCAGTTATGGCAGCTGTGACCATTTCACTCCTCTTCAAGCCGACTTTCCTCCTTTGGAAGTAAAAGGAGCCGTGAGCCGCCGCGTGACCCAGAACCAGTAAGACCTGTGGCCAGGTGTGTGAGCTGGCTGCTCTCACGGGAGGTCACTGAGGGCCTTGCTGCTTTTCCTTTCTTCTCAGACTGGCTGGCCCTCAGGAGGTGCTTGGCAGATTGCTGTCCCTCACCTCCCTGTCTTTCCCATGCAGGAGACGGAGGAGCTGGAGGAGGAGAAATCAGGGCTGCAGAAAGAGATTGCTGAGCTGCAGAAGGAGAAGGAGAAGCTCGAGTTCATGTTGGTGGCTCATGGCCCCGTGTGCAAGATCAGCCCCGACGAGCGCCGAACGCCCCCCGGCCCTGGGCTACAGCCCATGCGCAGTGGGGGCAGCGTGGCGGGCGCCGTGGTGGTGAAACAGGAGCCCCTGGAAGAGGACAGCCCCTCGTCCTCCTCGGCAGGGCTGGACAAGGCCCAGCGCTCCGTCATCAAGCCCATCAGCATTGCCGGGGGCTTCTACGGGGAGGAGCCCCTGCACACCCCCATCGTGGTGACCTCCACGCCTGCCATCACTCCGGGCACCTCGAACCTCGTCTTCACCTACCCCAGCGTCCTGGAGCAGGAGTCGCCCGCGTCACCCTCTGAGTCCTGCTCCAAGGCTCATCGCAGAAGCAGTAGCAGCGGGGACCAGTCGTCAGACTCCTTGAACTCCCCCACTCTGCTGGCTCTGTAACCCCACGTTCCTCGAAGCTCTGGAGGGGTCCTCGTCACTGCCTCCTTCCCAGGGACCAGCACGTTCAAGCGCTCCAGGGCCACGAGGGCAAGAGGGGCCTGCCAGGGAGCTTCCGGCTCTGGGGGCCGGGTGGGACCTGACAGGGACATGTTGGAGGACTTGGTCCATCACTTGGAAGCCACGGGACCCTCTCCGTCATTCGTCTTGCAAGCAAATCCCCTTTCTTGAAAAGCCATGGAGAACCTGGTTTGGTGGCTTCTGAGAGCCCGGAGCTGGCCTGCACAGTCCCTGTCCCCTTGTTACGCTGTCGTCTCTGGAGTGATGGTGTCCTTCCCTGCCCCGCCAAGCATGCTCAGTGCCTTTGGTTTCACCTCCCCTCGACCTGCCCCGTCCTCCCCCAGGGTCACTTTCGCTCCTTCTTGATTTTTATCAAATTTGCCATGACATTTCATTGGGATAATCTGGATATTAAAACTCTTCATTTCTGGAGATGGGGCAGCAGGTGACTCTTCTGCTGGGGCTGACTTGTCCAGAAGGGGACAAAGTGCAATACAGAACTTTCCCTCCCCGACACTCCCCAGGACACTGGCATCACCAGAAGCACCAGCAGGGTTCTCTGAGCTCCCCGGGAAACGGCACCACCGCCAGGAGGCCTGCAGGACCTTTCCTCCTCACCCTCAGAGACAGCTTTCAGAGGAGGATCGACGTGGCCAGAAGACAGGGCATGAGTGAGATGGCGGGCACATTCTGGGTGTGCCAAGTGCCTCATTACCAGGCCAGAAGTAGTGCCAACACAGCCACATGGGTGTCCTAGACAGCTTCCCTTCCCCTGGTGTCTTGAGCGGGCCGTCTCCTGTAATTACTGCCTCACCACTCTGCCCCTGGACCCTTCTCTCCAGACTGGGGAGCGTCCCTCGGAGCCACACAGCGCTCCAGGCCCTGCTGGGCTCCACCCTCCCTTGGCTCTCAGGGTGACGCCACCCACGGAGATTTAATGAGCGTGGGCCTGGACCCTCCCTAGACTGCAGCAGGTGGCTCCTCCCCAAGCCTCAGGATGGAAGGGCCAGGGAGGAGGCCCGGAGAAGGAAGGCCGTCCCCGGGGCCGGGTCAGTAGTGGCAGCAGTCTGGCACCTAGTCTGCCCTGCCTGCCCTCTGTGGCTCCCTGGCACCTGATGAAGCAAATGCTCTCTTTCACCCTCCCCCACCTCACCCCAGGGTGCTCTTCTGGCCTGGCCAGCAAGCTGCACTCGGCTAGCCACACACTGGGGTTTGGAGCTTATGTGCCACTCTGGCTGTCTGTCGAATCTTTCTAGCTGCTGAAATCAGAGCTAGGATGTGTGGCTTCCGGCTGCAGGAGAGCTGTCCCTTTCCCTTGCATCCCCTCACCTCCGGCAGGAGCACAGTTCAGCGTGGCCCTGCCCCAACCTGAGCCTTGCCTCCCCATTGCATGGCGACACCTGTCCTCGGAAGTGGCTTCTCCTCCACCTGCCTCCGAGGGGATCCAGCTCTAGAGATCAGTGTCCAGCCATATAAAGTGGTATCAATGTTATTTAAACCAAGGCCAGTGGCTCTTAAATTTCCAACTCTGGAGAGAGCAGAGACAGCTTCTCAGACCTGTTCCTTTCACACTTCTAGGTCTGCACTAGAAAGAATGGAAGAGCCATATGCTTAAAATACAAAGCCCAGCAGGATTGGAAGTGGCTTACGCAAGGGTCAGCCACCTAGAGAGAGGAGAGTTTAAAAAAAAAAAAAGATTTTTTTCAAAATACTTTGAACACATTCTTTCCCATGTTCCTTGGCTGCCTTCTGGCTTCCAAGGGCCTCTGGGAGGGGCGCTCCTGAGAAGACTGACCAGTTGGCTTTCTGATCTCAGATTAATCAAGCCAGAGGCAGCCAGGAGTAGAAAGAGGTGGGTGAAGAAAACTGGGTGCTTTGAGCTTGGGAAGGCTTAATCATCTCAAGTGGTATTTGTAGCCAGGTGGGAGTTATTTGCTTCTTTTGCATATAGATATATCTTAAACGAAGCTGTTTTCTGACCTTTTCTTTCTAAAAGCCCCTTTATGCCCCACTCTGTGTTGCATGGATCCCATGCAGGTCAGTCTGTGACTTGGATCCAAGACAGACATTCCTGAGCCTGAATTTGGCTCAGTTCAGATTGCAAGCTCCACTGGTATTGGAACCAGCCAGCCCTCGGGACTTAAGAGGCCTCTGATTTGCAGCCCTTCTCGAACCTCTTGCTTTATCCCAGGAGGATGTTTGGCTTCCCCAGAGCCAGAGGTTACGAGGGGAAGGCTGAATATTCACACCTGAGTCATGAGCGCATCCTCAGTTCTCATCCTCCTGGCTTGCTCTCCAAGTTCACTTGCATACACATCCTCACTCCAGCATCACCAGATGCCCGGCCTGCTGTTCCATCCTCCATTGTTCCAGCTAAGGGAACAGCTGAAGTGGGGATTCCTTTGTGCTTGGGCGAGGAACTGCTGTACCTCCCGGTGAACCCAGCCACAAGGCAGCTGTGTGGACTCCTGCTGGGCTGCACGCAGCTCTGGGACGTGCACTGCAGGCACTGCTGCTCCATTGGCTAGTGTGAGACAGGCCTCGTGGCCACCTGGCTGGCCTCTCTGGGAACAGTCCTCCCCTTGGCTGGGTGGCTGGGGACAGCTGCTGACACAGGAAAGAGAGCAGATCCCAGGTGATGCTTAGGAAATTTCCAGAGCCAGCTCCAAGCAGAGCATTGCCTGGGGGTGGAGGTGGTTGTGAAAGAGTCACCATTCTGTTCCCACTGTGGCCAGTCCAACAAGCATCTCAAAGCCAAGAGCCACCAGGGGCTGCTGCTTCTCTTAGCCTTTGGGGAAAGGAGTCTCTCACTTCCCACTCGACTCTAAGGCTCATGAGGGGCCACCTGTCTGGAGCATGGGAGCTCATTTCTCCCTTTCCCTGTTGACCAACAGTGCTCCTTACAATCTCACCATGGAAGTTTCAGGTCGATTTCCTTCCCGGATCAGACGTCCATGAGGCCCCTTAAGGAAAAGAAGAAGCACCTCCTACGTGCCAGGCACTGTTAGGCACTTTCATATTTATCCCCTTTAGGATGAGATTAAGGGATGAGGGAATCCCCTTGTAAAAGGCCCCCAAGTAGTGGCTGAATCAAAAGACTTGGAGGTGAGAAGGTCTTTCTCCAAAGACCCGAGGTAAGATTGCCTTCAGTCTGGTTTGTTCTCAAGGACCCATCCCCTAGAGTATCTGCCCTCCTCCTGTTCCCAGCCTGTGCTCGTCTGTACTCCTCCGATGCTGGAGGGGTGACCCGAGTCTTCATAGAATTGTGGACCAATAGGATATTGGTGTGTATAACTTTCTTTTTAAACTTAAGTAAAGGGGTCTTGCTATGTTCAGCTTGTTGAGTCTTCTTGGTATTCATCTTAAAAGCCAGCATCTTACTATTTATTGACAGGTGTGTATGTGTGTATGTATGTGTGTGTGCTCGAATATATGTATATTTCCAAGTGTGCTTGTGTCTTGCAGCTTTTTAGAAGGAAACCCAGTCATCCCACTACCAGTTTGGCATCTTCTCGTGCTTCTTGTGTTTTGGGCCACGTGTCAACAAAGGGTTTTGATTTTCTAATGTTGACAACATGTTCAGGAGGGGTAGGGTCAGAATCCGACGGTGGGGCATGAGAAGGGAAGGGGGAAAAGAAATAGACATTTATTTTATTATTTATTTTAAATGTTTACATCTTTGTGTTGTACCAATCCTGAATAGAAACATAGCATTAAAACATTCAGTTCCTCTCTCTCTCTCTCACTCTTTTTTAAAAAAAAAATGACAATAATTTTGCTTTTTTGTTTCCAACGTGATTTGTGACATGCTGTATAAACTGTATAAAAAGGTTCTGTTTCTGCAGGTGGGTTGTCATTCCTCTGGGGACAGTGGCTGCCAGGAAATATACATTGTAAGTGGACAAAATGAAAGACCCTGCCCTGTTCCTCAACAATTACTTTCTCTGTTATGATTAAAAAATTATTCCATTTATTTTAGTTTGTGGTTACTTGCTTTTTGAGGAAGAAAATATTTGACTTTGTATAAAGACTAGGGATCAGGTGTCTTTTGTAGTGGGAGATGTATATATAGTATTGGTATATAGTGGAAACCCACGAGCATTGTGCATTTGTATTTGAGATATGTTGATGATGTGGAGTGAAGTCTACTATTAGACCCTGGAGGCTAACAAGTTGTACAAGGTTTCTGTCGCTCTGTGGGGAACTTGATTACTTTTCTGGGCACCTTTTCCCCCTGATTTTTATAGTAATGGTGACATGGTCCTATTGGAGGATCTCTTATGTTGACCTTTCCAGGCAGGACTGTGAGCCCAAAATCTTTGTATAGTTTTGAAAATTGAGGAGTAGCTCTGCTCAGAAGCATCTCTGGTGGTATTTGTTGTTGTTTTGTTCTATTGTTTTACTGTATGTAACACAAGCCTACAGTATTTGCACTAAAGAAAGCTTGTTAGAAAAAGCTTGCTGCTATGGAAGAAAGAACATATTAAAACATTTTTCCCTCGCGGTATTTTTGTTGTTGTTGTTGTTAGCTTTTCCACTTTCTGTTGAGTAGCATTTTGTAGAATAAAATGAATTGAGATCGAACAGCCTCTGACGGTTGCTTTATTCCATCTTTCCCCCACTCTCTCCCGCGGCTTCTCTTTCTCTTCTCCTCTTCTGTACCTTTGACCTTGTGGATAAAGCGGGTCCCTTCTTAGGATGAAGCTCACGGGAAGCTTTTCCTGCACGCTGTACCGTGGATTGCTTAGGGGATGTTTGCCCCCTTTTCTTTCCTCTTTGACCCTCTCCCAACCTGTCTTCCACGAGTTCCCACTGCCCAGGACCTAATTCTCAGCCAGCTGCCAACGACTGCCAAGGCATGAGCCAATAAAAGTTTAAAGGTATCTTGTTGGAACAGGTTGATTGTGGAAATCCTGGGATCTTCAAAGAAGCAATGAAATGTATTGCTAAGCTTGTCATGGTGGTCAGACAAGATGGAACGCAGGAAAGGGCTCTGAAAACAATGGAGGCATGCAAGTAAGTGAGATGATGGCGTCTCTAGATTTCCTTTCTGGAAAAGAGCAGGTTGTTAGGTGTGGAATTCTCGAAAATGTCAGCCCAGTCCCCATTGTCCTGTAGACCGGGAAACCTAGGGTGCCTGAGGAATATCTGTTCAGCGTACTCTTTGTAGGGAGACAAACCAGTCATCAGTTAAAGCTTGTAGTGCATGGCAGCTGGCCGAGAATTAGCCGTGGAAATTACACACTCCATCCAATGTGTTTTATGCAAGCTTAGGGTGTGGGCCTCATTCTCTGGAGGACCCAAGAACACTGTACAGGGAGCCAGGGAGGCCCTGAATCCTAGGCCTCCTCCCACTACTTCACTATGGAGGTTTTATTGAAAGCCACTGAATGCATCCGAGCCTCCGTTTCCTCCTCAGTGAAGGGGCGGGTAATGACAGCTTTATAAGAACACCCTCCTAGGAGGGGTGACAGTATCCTCTCTGTCCCCTTTGGGTCCACATGGTACAAGGGATCAGTGCTGCTCAGAAGTCTCAGTCCCGGGTCTCACTGTGACCTCTCCTGTCCAGGTGGACCAAGGAACATAGACAGAGTCTGACATGTCCGAGCAGTACCTATACTTTCCCGAGTAACTGTGTGTTTACCCTTGTGAGGTAGGTGTCAAAGAGCAGATGCTTGGCTCCTCTGGGCTGTGGGAATGGTGCTGTCCTGAGAAGTGCATGCTCACATTTGCCACTTGCACCCGAGTGCTTCCTTCCATACATTGTCTTTCAATCACACTTCAGAATCTACTTTGTTTAAATTTCCACCTCTTCTTCCCTATAGTAATTAGAATGGTTGCTGACTGCCAGGCACTTATTAGATGGAGTCAGAAGCCTCTCTGTGCAGCTGTAAATGCCTTGAGAATATGCAGACAGTTGTTCAGTCTTTTGTGGAAAAACCCAAGAAGGAACAGCTTCTACTGGGTCCACTGGGAGAGTTTTGCTGTCACCTGTAAGTCTAGGCTGAATTGGTCCAAACCAGTTCCATGACCTGGGTTGATGGTAAACTCTTGAGTCCATTTCCAACAAATTTGGAGTTTCAAGGAGTAAACAGAGTTCTCTCTCTCAGCAAGAATGTCTTGGTGAGGGATTTCTGGGACAATCTTCTTTTGCTGGAATTAGAGGGCCCCAAGTGAACACAACTTTGTCGGTAGGCTCTTGTTGTTCATCAGACCTGCTACTATATAAGAGAAAAGGGATTTCTCTTGGAGTTGCCATTTTTCAACACATTGAGCAGTGAGACCGAAGCACTGAGCAGATATGAAGTGCTAAAGCCAGGAGGAATCTTAAGTCACTGAAACCCATAGGCCCGGGCCACTTTACTGCAGTGTAGCCACTGGGCTCTGGGCTTAAGTGCCATGTTGGAAATAAAGGGTGCGATTTTCTTGTTGGCCCTTTGTGTTTGAAGGATGGATGGATACTTGTCTGGGAGCAGCCTGGCCCTGCTGGCTACTTACTGGGCCCCACCAGGCCCCCAGTCAGAAGCCCCAGCACAGAGGGGCACCACTGGCTTTGTATCAGTGCTTGTTCTTGCCAACAGAGATTGTATTTCTTCCTGGTGAGACCCAGAAGGACGGCATCCCATGAGGCACAGAGCAGTTAGACTGGTCCACTCAGCCTTCTTCACTGTCAGCCCTGCCTGGAGTGGAGAGAGATTGTATGCTGCAACTCTGCCAGTTGGGCAGGACCCTTTTCCTCCTCTCAGTGAGGTCCCCAGTGGACAGATGCCATGGCCAAGCCTCTCATGGTCTGAAAGTTGTTGATTCTGGAAAGTTCCACTGATTTAAAGAAAAAAATAAAAACTGATTCAGGCTCCACTTCTGGAACTAGAAGATCTTCAATCAAATTAAATACCTTCTATTGGGCATGTACTTATAGTCACCAGGCATGGTGTACTTATACTTAACAAGTACTTACAGTTGGGTATGGTGGTGCATGCCTGTAACCCCAGCACTCAGGAGGCTAAGGCAGAAGGATTGCCGTGAGTTTGAGGACAGCCTGGGCTACTTAGTGAGTTCAGGGCAATCCTGGAGTACGTGGCGAGACCCTGTCTCAAAAGAAAAAATAAATAAAGTGAACGATTCTGCAACATTTAGTATCTTCACAGTATTATGCAATATTGATCTATTTCCCAAACGTTTCCATCAGTGTGATAAGAAACTCCATACCATTAAGTGTTAAGTCCCTATTGGCCCTTTCCTCAATCCCAGCTAACCACTCACCTCCCCCTTTCTGTAAGAATTTAAACTTACATGGTATTTTTGAGAATCCTAATGATTCTATTTTTTGAAGTAAAAAACCCCAGGTATTAATGGTATAGTTCCTCCCTTATTTTCACTTCAGACCTTTTCATGTCTTTTCATACATGATCTCATTCAGTAGCCCAAGAGCAGATGTTGCTGGGTGTGTTGGAAAAATCTCAGCTCCAGGAGAAATTCCTTTTCTCCTCCACAGTGGTGTGACTACTACACTGGCAATACAATCACTGCCTTGAACAGTGCACAAGGCATTTGTTTCTCAAACAAAGATGGAATAAACTTGAAAAGACAGGCTTTGTTCACTGAGGAAAACAGACACCCTTGTCATGCCATAAGCATGAGGAGAGCACAGTTTATAAATTAGTGTGCCGAGACTGTTAGCGTCCTGTTCTAACAGATATGAGGATGAAATCTCTCATATTCTTGTTAAGTGCATAGCATTGCAAAAGGCAGTCTGGGACACAGCTGGATAGGGATTTTGTCAAGGGTTGTGTAAGGTGTCTCTCTGCTTCATAGTCAAGTGTTTTCACTGGGAATAATAAGAACTCCTATCTAGAAGCTGCCCTCAGGGAGGTTCAGCCTGATGGGAATGGAAGGACCAGGGGACACACACATTCCAGCCTGTGGCAGGTGGGGGGTTTCAGAGAGGATTCTGTGGAGGAATGGGCCTGGCGTTGGAGCCGGAAGGGTAAGCAGGATGACCACGGATGAGACGGAGTGGAGAGTGGGTGTGGCTGGCAGAGGGCACCACCTGAGCAGACTTGGGAGATGAAGGTGTGGGATAGCTGTGGAGGCCAGGCTGAGCATGCGCTGATGTGGGAGGCTCGTGAACATAGACTCTGTGACCTCGAGGTCTTTCGAATAGCAGGCTTGAATCTTTCTGCCATGCACTGCTGCCTATCTGTGCCAGGCACTGCCCTCAGACTGGGGAGGCAGAGGGCCTGAGGAAGTCTTAGTGCCCCCAACCTGGCTGTCCTGTCCTCTGGGGAGGATCAGTAACTGTGAGTTCACTGAGGGATTCAGAGAAGACACAGAAGGTGTGAGTGGAGCAGGTACCACTGGGACCTTCCCAAATCTGGGAGCAGCAGTGGTAGAAGGGCTTCCCAGAACTGGTGTTATTTAAACCAAGACCCCACAAGTCAGTGGAAATGGGAGCTTTACTTCTAGGCACTGGGAGTTGCCAGGGGTGCAGCTGAATGGCAGGTGACGCAGCTGCTGTCACACTGTACCAAGACCAACACAGCAAGTGTGAAGACAGGGAGGGAGGGAGGAGGAAGCAGGGACGAGAGCAGCCCAGCCGACAGGCAGTGCCAGCCCTGGAGCCCGATGGCAAGAAGGTCCTCCTGGGGAGCCAAGTCCAGGACATCTGCCTCCGGGAGCAGAAACTGAAGGCCAGCGGAGCCAAGAGGAGCTGGCTGGGTGGGGAGGCCCAGGCCCTGAGTTCAGTTTTCGTCATGTGACTCTGAGGAACCGGGGGATTGGCAGGGGTCCTTGGCCGAGGCAGGACACAGGCAGGGCGGGAGCCAGGACGAGGGATTTCTTCTGGAGAAAGTCACACAGCCTTGCAGCTTGGCGCCATCCTCACCTTGTGTTCCCTGCGGCCCCAGACCTCAGCGCTGATGTCTTGGCCAGTCTCTCTCTTCTTCCCTGGAAGGGCTACCCAAACGGCCTCTTCCCTCAGAGTGTCCCCCAGCCCCCACACCTTCCACAGATGATGCCATCTTCCACTTCACAGAGAGGGAGGCCGACTCGAGGGATCTCCTCAATTTCCCTTCACCAGGTTGACAAGCCTGCTTCAGCAGAGCAGGGTCCCTCCTGCTCCTCAAGTCCTCCTTTATCCAGCTCTGAGACCCGCCATGTTCCTTCTTTTCAGAGACCCTCTTTAACCATTTCCCTGCTCTTCCTATGTAGTCATTGGTGTCTACTTCCCCAGGGAGCCCTTCCCGTCAGCAGTAAACTAGGTCAAGTCTTGGCCACCTTGAAAATAACAAAACCCTCCCCGGCTGCACCTCCCATTTCACCTTCACCGCCCAAGCTAGAGAGTTATCTTGGTTTGTGGCTCCTAGTTCCTCACTTCCCACTCTCCGCTCAACCCACTGAAGTCTGGCTTCCACCCCCACAGCCCCGACTGTCTGAACTTCTTGCGATGAAATCCTGTGGACACATCTGTGCCTTGGCCACCCCTGACCAGTGGGTGCAGTCAGCACTGCTGGGTGCACCTTCGGGATATACCATTTTCTGTGGCTCCCTCATCCCACCTCGACCCTCATGGCCCCTCAACCCTA